ATCTCAGTCCCATTCATCTCCCCATCCCTTCATATCATTCCTCTGCCCTTGCAACCTCTCCTCCAAAATAAAATAAAACAAAACTTATGAGAGAAGAAAAAAAGAAAGAAAAGAAAAATCTCATCCTTGAAGCTGTAGTGTGGCACAGTGAGTCACACAGTATACCCTTTAGTCCATATATCTTTACTTGCAAGTGTTCATTGCAATGAGTCATTGGTCTGGTTCGAGGCTTCTGGCTTCTGCTACACTATCTATACTGGACCTTCACTGAGGCTCCTCTTGGGTATCCTGTTGTTGTCCTGTGTCATGGAGATCCTGCAAGTTCGAGTCTGCAGGACTGGCTCCTTCACATGCTCTAGCAGGTCATAGATGGTGTAAATGTTGAGGTGGGCTAACTCATAGTCCTGGTTCTGGGCCTGGATGGTTACAGGGCTGGTCAGCCTGCCAGCTGTCCCCATCCTCACCACCAGGGTGAGCTCTCCAGCATTGCCCCATTCTTGCTACATTTTATCATCAATTCCCAGTCACACACACTCATTGTCACCCAAAGGCTTATAATAATATTGTTATTTGAAATTCTCTATTTAAAGCAAAGATGAAACTTTTAACCATTATTCATAATATCATTTCAAGCCAAATGCTGACTTTTTAATTACAAATACTTTAAATGTTTCATTTTATACGTCAGGCACATAAAACGCTTATTTTCTTTATAAAATATTTTTTTGAGAATTTCATACATGATTATTACATTTACATCATTTCAACCCCACTCTCCCTCTCCACTTCCTCTAACGCCTCCCCATTCCTTCTTAGCTTCATGACCTCTTCTTTAATTGTGATAGATGGATAGATAGATAGATAGATAGATACATACATACATACATACATACATACATAGATGCATAGAATCCACTGAGTCAATTTAGTAATCTACTTATCAGGAGGGTTGTCTGTCCCTGGAAAAGACTAATTTTTTCCTGTCTTAGCAGTCATTAATTACCTGTAGCTCTTCATCTAGGGGTGAGGCCTCATGAGATTTCTCGTCTATGTTGGTATGGTAACTGGCATTGTCACTGTGCAGGTCTCTAGAAAATATTTATTTTGGGGGCTAGGCGTGGTGGCACAAACCTTCAATCCCAGCACTCGATGCAGAGGCAAGCAGATCTCTCTGAGTTCAAGGCCAGGCTGGTCTACAAAGCAAATTCCAGGACAGCCAGGGCTACATAAGAGAAATCCTGTCTCAAAAACTTAAAAAAATATATATTTTCTGTATGCCAAGATTTACATTCTTTTCAAATACCAATGCAATTGCTTATATGATGCTAATGTAAAGTTTGAAGATGATAAATTATTTGGGATAACCAGCAAGTCCTACAGGAGGTGGTTAGAAGGGAAATTATTATGAGTATAGATAAAGCCTATCCATAGGGAATAAGATGCTGTTTATGCCATCTACCACAGAGATCATAAATAGTAAAAACAAATATTTCCATGTCTCAATATTTTTCTTCTAATTGGTTTACTCCTTCTTCCGGCAGTAAACAGTACCAAATTTTGTAAATTTTTACACTCTAGCTCAAAGGAAGGCCGCCCAGTTGGCTTATATGCTAGCATTAGTGAGAACATTACTAAAATTGTTTTGTTTTTAAATGTAATTCAGAGCCCAGAAAAATGTCAGACACAATCTATTTAGGTATACACTAGTCCAACCAATGGATGAGGTATGACCTAATTAATTGTATTATCTTTTTAATGAAAGAATTGTTGAAATTGGCTTATGTGCTTATCTAAAAATCAGTAAAACTTTTTTCTCTACTAGCTTGACAACTAAGCTATTAAAAAATAAGCCAAGAAAGGAGCTATGGTTCTGTCTCTTCAAGATTTAAAATACAATTACTTTAAATGTTCTTAACTTTATGCATACCTATTTAGAATTGCAGCTAGCCAAATTAATAATCTACTCTTGTAAGAGAAAAGGCTAATTAAACTATTTTTCTAGGAATTAAGCACCAATTGAAATAATCAACTATGTGTCAAGTTCTCTGTTCTTTGGCTTTACTTTGAAGTAAGAAAGTTCACGTTCCTTTAGAAATAAAAGTGGTTTTAAATAATTGAAGTCATTAAATTTATTTTTTAATCCAACAATATTTACTTATTTCCCTTTCATTTTTTCTTTTTCTGTTATTCTTTTTAGTTAATAAATATATTCAAATTCACTATTCTTAATTATATTTATAATTGCATAAATATTCTAGAATGGATTGGCTTTACTTTAATAGCTTACTTAAAAGTCTTTTCTTGTTTGAATGGAAAAACCAATCAGGAAAAGATTTTGATCTTAGGTGATTCTGTCAGAGATTGTAATAAAGGAAATAGAATTCTAGGATCAGCCCAAATATTGTCACCACAAGTCAAGACACAAAATGAGTCAAGACAAGCACTAAAAAAAACCAAACTCTAACACTGAAGCATAAATAAATAAAAGCTAAGAAGTGATTAAAAATACAGATTGGATAACATCAGTGTTTAAAACTGACTTTGAGGGCTGGACAGTGGTGGTGCATGCCTTTAATCCCAGCACTCGGGAGGCAGCAGCAGGCAGATCTCTGTGAGTTCAAGGCCAACCTGGTCTACAGAGTGAATTCCAGGACAGCCAAGGATACACAGAGAAGCAACATAGAAAAATTGATTTTGAAAAGGGCAAAGAGAAAAGTTAAAGACACTTGGTATATCCACTGTTATATAGCCTCCCCGTGGAAGTTTCAGAGAAATTACAACTATATGGATCCCTTAGGGAATATACTAGTGTTTATAATAACCAAAATTTCCAGATAATTGAAATATAAATAAGCAATTAAATTGAATTTTACTGTGAAGTAAGCATAAAGAAGTCAATTAGCCATGATGTCCCCATAGTGTTTTACCTTTTCAAAACTACAAAAGAGTGTAGGGGGAGAAAAAAATTATACTATAGTCTTAGTTGCTATCTGTTTTCGTTCGTTTTGTGGGCAATTGTTTCATCAAAACTTGGTCTTTAGTGTTAAGTGTTGATTAGGTCATCTTTTTTCAATACCAAATTATACAGTGTGTTTTTCCAAATCAAAGGGGAAAAATCATGTTACTTTAATTAATAGTGTGATGAATAACAGTAGGCTCCATAGTCAAATTGCTTAGGTTAAAACCCTTTACTAACCATGCATAACACATAACTAAATTGGGCATCTTTCAGCTTTCACAAGTGTAATATGGAATTGATAACTGTCCTACCACATTTGGCTGTGACAGCATTAAATGAATTTGTCACATAAGGTACTTGGTAACTGCATGTCCTGTAGTGTGGTGGGTTAAATAAGAATGCCCCACCCCCCCATAGGCTCATATATTTGAATGTTTAGTCATCAAAGAATGAGTGGCACTATTTGAGAAAGATTAGAACAAGTAGGAGGTGTGACCTTGTTGAAGTAGGTGTGGCTTTCTTGGAAGAAGTGTGTCACTGGGAGTGGACTTTGAGGTCCAGGTCCAGGTTCTTTATTTCTCTGCCTCCAGAGCAGCATATAGCTCTCAGCTACTGCTCCAGCACCTGCCTGTGTGCCATCCTACCCCCAGCCATGATGATAATAGACTAAACATCTGAAACTGTAAGCAAGCCCCCAATTAGATGCTTTCCATTATAAGAGTTGCCTTGGTCATGGTGTCACTTCACAGCAAAAGAATACTAAGACAGTAAGCATGAAATTAATTAGAATTTTTCATTAGATGAAATTTTGGTGTATAGCTTTGTGAAATCTTCTAACAAATAGTAATAAAAGTAAAGAATTCATTAACCAACAGTGTTCACCAACTACCTAAACTCAAAATGAAAACATAAACCTTTATGAGGTAAATCATAAATTATACAAACACCTTTAGTAGCATATGCTAAATTAATGTCTTCTTACAAGGCAGACAGAAAGATTCAAAACACTCTTTCCCACCGTGATAACCCTTAGTCCACCTGGGCGACATCAGGGGATTATAGTACATGCATGTGTATTTAAGGATGTGTATGTGCCTGCATATGTGTTCTAGAACTTTCTGCCTCATTTTTCTTTGTTCATCATCCAGATTACACCAGATCCAACCCACACCATGGAAGAAGCCACAAGCCAAAGCCTAGAGGAAGACTTTGAAGGACAGGCCACACACACAGGTAACTGACATGCAGAAAAAGCACAATCATTAAAGTAAGATTAATTCTAGAAATATCTGCTGTTCTTATGGAGAATATTATTGAATTTAAGCACTATCTCCATCTAGTCAGGAAGAATAATCCAAAAACACCTGATGAAATAAATTAGCTTAAAATGAAATGGTCCAAGATTACTTATTTGCTATTTCAATATCAAAGAGTTAGAGTTAATGCAAATTCTTGATAATTTCCTGCTACCCAGTTATCTGACTTTTCAATCCACAGTTTAAGTAAGGCCCTTTCAGTTCTCCCACCCCTCCTGTGTGTACTCACTACAGACTTTCCTTAGTATACTCTCTCTCTCTCTCTCTCTCTCTCTCTCTCTCTCTCTCTATATATATATATATATATATATATATATATATATATATATATATATGTGTGTGTGTGTGTGTGTGTGTGTGTGTGTGTGTGTGTGTGTGTGGTCAAAAGTAAGTAATATTTAATTTTAGCTTTACAAATGTGAAAAAAAGAGTAAGAAGATAATTAAGTAGATTTCAGCCTACCTCCAGAAAGCCCAAAACAAAATTACATCAAGGGGCTTTTCTTAACTTGTTCATTTGTATGTGGCTATTTATATCTACTACCAAAACCTTAAATGTTAGGTACTGTGACTTAAATTTTAAATTCCAAATCCTTTTGACTCTACAGAATCGTATGTGACCATTAATTCCTGTATCTATAAGCATTGATTGGAACCTTTAAATTTAGTCATAGGTTTGAATGAATTCACACTAGTACCCGAATAAATATATGGAAATTTATTTAATAGTAGCTATAGTAAGAGTGAAATAAACAAAGAAGTTATAAGAGAAAGGATAGATAAGTTTGCTGGAAGGAAGCAGAAAATTATGGGAGGAGAGAAGTGAACGGAGGGAGAGGAAAAAGAAGGTACATAGGAAGGGAAAAGGGGAAGAAACAAAGGAAATGCCCACTATCTGGTAAAAGTCATCAGGAGAAAACATTAAGAGAAAAACTTACCATACTTGGGAGAAACACTGGTAACCCAATGGACAACAAATTGATTTTTAATATATATTAAGAGTTTCTACAAATAGTAAGAAGTAAAACAGCAACCAAATAGAAGAGTGGACGTATTAGTTACTTGGTGTGTTGCTGTGATAAAATACCCAGACAAAAGGAATTTGAGGAAGAAAGGTTCGTGTCCACTCACAGCTATAGGGTGCAGTCTACTGTGGTGGGAAGTCAAGGCTTTAGGAGCTTGACGCTGCTGGTGACGTTGTACCCACACACAGCAGGAAACAGAGGAAGATGAACACTGATGCTTAACTTCCTCTTTCCAGGACTTCAGCCCATGGGATGATGATGCCCACAGTTAAGGCTGGTCTTTCCACCTCAATTAACCTAATTTGGATAAACCCTCATAGACATGCACAGAGGCTTATCTCTTAAGAGATTATAGACCATATCAAATTGATGATCAATATTAACCATCACAATGGGCAAATGATTCACAGAGAAAAATAACTTTAAAAAGACACAAACCTAACTTTGGTGTGATGCATTCTTTTTTCACAGAAATAGAAAAACTAAAAATTTTACGCTTTCTGAATGAAGTATTGGGAAGAGGATAAACTGAACTGGTTTAACCTCTGCAAGGGCAGTTAGCACCATCACAATCCAGAATGTACATGTCCTTCAACCAAGTAATTTCACTTATAGTTGACAAATAGGAAAAAATGGATTATAAGATGCTTCATTCAGCATTATATGTAATAGAAAAAAATGTGGAAACAATACCACCTAACAGTAATAAATAACTACATTGTATGCACATTTATAATAATATACTGTGCTTTATATTTAAAAGAAGAGGAGGAAGAGGAGGGAATGATGGCTCAGGGTGGAGAGATAGCTCAGTGGTTAAGACCGTTTGCTGCTCTTCCAGAGGACTGTAGGAAAATAAAAATAAAATTGTTTGCCTTAATACAATTAATAAAAACAGATGTAATAACTTTATATTAAATTTGTATACTCTATATTATAATTAATATACAATATGATATACAATGTGAGGGAGAAGGAATACATCCAAATGTAGACTATGGCATTAATGAGAAACAAGACCAAGCTTTAGTATGTATAGCTCATTTAATATTGCATGCTTTCAAGAATTTAAGACCTTCAAAGCATTATTTCCCAAGAACCAAATATTAATTCCAAATAGGTGATTTTCGCCTGTGTTTTTAAAACACAGACAACTCAGTCTCACCCTTACAGGTTCTGATTCAGGATATCTGAGCAGTGCCCATCATCAGAAAAACTAATTGCCGACACTGAACACGTTTTTCTGTGTGACGTGGCAGAGCCTCAGGCATATAAGGAAAACACTATACAACGGGGCGATATCCCTGGTGCTCTACTTGAAAACCCTATCCTCTCTGTATTTCTGAGTGATTCTTAGGCTCTTAGAAGGAGTTGGATGGTTACATGATGATAGTTGTTGCTTTAGTTTCACTAACTGAAGTCAGGTACTGTTTCCACATGTTGTGTTTAGGTGCCATTGTTACTGTCTCTCCTCTAATAACTCCAGTATCCTTTAACAGTGTAGTACCAACGCTCATTTATTGCAAAAGCATCTTTCTCATGTGGTGAGTGCTGTTTTTCTAAAATTCTGATTGCTTTTATATATCCCAATTTTTAAATATTTTTTACCTGTAAACCTTCTGTGAGTAGCTCAAAGCACATAATTTATATTTTTATTATTACAGATATTTAAGAAAGATTCTGTGCCATGGTCTTTGCCATTTGTTAAAGTTAATCTTGGACATTATTTTTATGAACAAGTCAGGAAAAATATTTTTAGTCCAATCACCATGCTTGATTCTGATGTAAGAGATGACAAGTTTTCTCATGGCAATACTTACACAAATTTCAATTATGTAAACATTTTTTTAATAATAAAGAGAAAAATGTTTAAAAAATTTATTTCAGGGCCCAAAGGAGTAATAAATGATTGGAGAAAGTTTAAATTAGAAAGTGAAGATGGTGATTCACTTCCACCCAGTAAGAAGGAGATCCTCAGACAAATGTCTTCTCCTCAGAGCAGAGATGACAAAGACTCAAAAGACAGAATCAGCAGAAAGGTAAGAGGAGCAAAGACCTGTAATCAGTTGTTAATAAGCTATGTGTTTCCTAGTCTACGTCCCTCAAGAGAATCACTTTGGAATACTGTGAAATGCTTTCCTTGTAGTACAGAGTGAATATTGTGACATGGTACTCTGTACTAAGAAATACATGTGGGAATCAGAGAATGGATTACAAATATATGAGCCATTGAAGAGGATGTTTTGTAATGAGAACACAAAACACAGAATTTTAAATTATATGAACGGTTCCATTTTTTTAAGGTAACAAAGAAAACATTGTGTGCTTTCACTCTTGCATGATTATAAGCATGTGAATCTCTGTGCAGAGAAGTAGGGGGTGCTCTCTTGGGAGACGATGGTCATAGTTTACAAGAATGAGATGCCTGGGAAGAGAAGGAAGAGGATAAGCAGACGATTCTCTGTTTAAAGACAGCATTGCAAGAGTCCAGAGAGTTAACGATGACCTCTGAAATGTCAGTGGAGGCTATCTGAATATTAAATTGGTAGAACATCAGTGTTTTTGCTTCTTTTTTTTTTTTCTTAAAACTTTAGGCCATTTTGTCTCCACAAGTCGCATACATTACTTATATAACAAGGTTAATGGTAATAATAAGAAAGTCATAAATTTTCATTCGTGGGGAAAACCACTCTAGGAGATTACTTTTCTCCAAATCAGGGTATATTGATAGTATACTGAGTTAAGAGACTATGAACAGAAATGTGCCTTGGCCCATGGCTTCAGGCCACGGTAGTGATCTTCAGTCTAACACTGTGAGGGGAAGAAGACAGAAGTTGGTTCTCTCTCTGGGTCATTATGCAATGTGGATGAGACAACCACAGTTTTGAAACTGAGAAACTGTAAGGACATCCTCTGTTGTTTTAAACAAATTATAAAGGGGAAAATAAATAGAAATGTTTTTAAAAATACTATCAAATCTAGATGTTATTTTTAAAAATTTTGTTCTGGTTAAACTTCAGAAACGTGCCTGTATGCCTAAAAATCTATGTCTCAATGTATGAACAAAATAACTTCGGATATGAATGTTCAAATGTATCTTTAAATCCATATTCATGAGGCTTGGTTGCTTGAACTAGCAGAACTATGATGGCAACTTAAGAATTATACAAAACATTTAATAATTTTAGGACTAAAATAAATTTAATTGAGACAATAATATTGACAGAGAAAAACTATTAGAATAGGAAAGAGATCTGGCTGTGGTGGCATCTGTCTATAATACCAGCACTTGGGAGGTTGAGGTAAGAGGGTCTTGAGTTCCAGGCTAGCCTGGGCTACAGAACACAATCATACCAAAAGAAAGAGAGGAGAGAGGAAGAAAGAGAGAGGGAGAGAGGGGTAGATTGTCGGGGAGAAAGAATGAGGGATATTAGGAAAACGAACACAAAAGGCAGAAGCAAGTAACAAAAATGGACGGCAGCTGCAGTTCAAAGGTTACATGATGAAGACATGATGAAGAGGCTGTAGATGACAATCCCCTTGAGACTCCCTAGCTTCCAGCTCCCGAGTTTCTGGGCTGCTCCCCACCTTTCGGAGAGCTATATGACAATAGGCTGTATCACTCCTTTGTGTCTATTTTTTTCCCTTGGTTGAGGGGAAGAGGTGATTAATTGTCTATCAAATATATTAATAATGGAGTCTATATTACGAAAGGGTATTAAGGTAATTTGATGTTCTAATCACAAGAAAATGTAGCTATTTTGTAAGATACATAGTTCTCTTACTTTTCACTAAGCCAGTGGTTAAGAATAACCTAGAGGGCTTGTTAAAACACAGACAACTCTGCCTCACCCTTACAGGTTCTGATTCAGCAGATCTGAGTATAACCTGTAATCAGAAAAAAAATTGCTGACACTGAACACATTAGTTAGAAAACTGACATTCGTTAATCAAATACATAATTCAATTCCCAACAGTACTTGTTGGTATGAAAATGAAAGCAGGATAGAGAAAGAAGAGAATAGAGCAAGGGTCCTTTTTTTTTTTTTTTTTTTTTTTTTGGTTTTTCGAGACAGGGTTTCTCTGTGTAGCTTTTGTGCCTTTCCTAGAACTCGCTTTGGAGACCAGGCTGGCCTTGAACTCACAAAGATCCACCTGGCTCTGCCTCCTGAGTGCTGGGATTAAAGGCGTGCGCCACCACCGCCCGGCTCAAGGGTCCTTTTTTAAGTTGGTTAATCAAGTAACAAAAGAAAGTAACCTTTGAGCTGATGCTTAAATGAGAAGGCCATAAGCGGAGAAGAAGTAGCCAAAGCAAGGAGGACATCAAGTCAGAACTCCTAGACTTGACATTAAGTTTGATGCATCCAAGGATGAAACACTTCTGATTGAATTATCTCTATTATTTCTTTCCTGCATTCTCAGATGAGCATCCAAGAATATGAACTAATTCATCAAGACAAAGAAGATGAAAATTGCCTTCGCAAATACCGTAGACAGTGCATGCAGGACATGCACCAGAAGCTGAGTTTTGGGCCTAGATATGGGTTTGTGTATGAGCTGGAGACAGGAGAGCAGTTCCTGGAAACCATTGAAAAGGAGCAGAAGGTCACCACCATCGTGGTTAACATCTATGAAGACGGTGTGAAGGGCTGTGATGCACTCAACAGCAGTTTAGCATGCCTTGCAACTGAGTACCCAATGGTCAAGTTCTGTAAAATCAAAGCTTCTAATACTGGTGCTGGGGACCGCTTTTCCTCAGATGTTCTCCCTACCCTGCTTGTATACAAAGGTGGGGAACTCATAAGCAATTTTATTAGTGTTGCTGAACAGTTTGCTGAAGAATTTTTTGCTGGAGATGTGGAGTCTTTCCTAAATGAATATGGATTACTACCAGAAAGAGAGATCCATGACCTAGAGCAGACCAACATGGAAGATGAAGATGTTGAATAAGCGTTCACTATGTCAGTATCTCATACCTATTCTTTACACAGTGAACATTGATTTTTGGTAGTACCTATATTCCTTTAGCAAACACTAAATGCGGTTATTCAAATTTGGGGAATAAAAGACACTAAAATTATGTTGATAGAATTTTTTAGTATTAGTTATTCAAAATGAGATAATATTTTACTGCAAAAATATTGTAGTTCTTAACAAATAATTAGTAAACAGAGGAAGTGAATAATGTCAATGTTATGTCACTTTAAAGACCCCTCACAAGTTATTTGTTAGCTTTTATATGCCTCATTTTTCCCTTGGCATTTTTATTTGGGCTTTTGAAACTGAATGCTACTTAAGAACTGACTTGTATGATAAGAATAAAATCCTATGAAGAAACAAATATTCTGTGTAATGTCTACTGTGAGTCAAGTATTATATCCTCAAGTACATAAAAACTTCATAAAGCTCAAAATACAAAAATGGTTTCATTCATTAGTCTCTAGTAATCACAAATCTGCATGTGAAAATTATTGTTTTCATTTTTAAAACAATGCAACAAGATGCAGAGAAGTAGAATTTTAATTTTCACTTCTCTTGAAAGCATTTGGAAGTTTGTCAAAAAAAAAAAAGCTGGATGGTGGTGGCCCATGCCTTTAATCCCAGCAGAGGAGGCAGAGACAGATGGATCTCTATGAGTTCAAGGCCAGCCTGGTCTACAGGGCAAGTTCCAGGACAGCCAGGGCTACACAGAGAAACCCTGTCTCAAACCCTCCCTATCAAAAAAAAAAAAAGAAAGAAAGAAGGAAGGGAGGGAGGGAGGGAGAGAGGGAGAGAGAGAGAGAGAGAGAGAGAGAGAGAGAGAGAGAGAGAGAGAGAGAGAAAAGAAAACATTTGGAAGTTTACCCTCCCAGACAGAGACATGGAAAACAAAATACAACATTAAAAGTCAGCTGAAGAGTAAGGTGAAAGGTAAACCAGAGGAAAAAGGTGATGGTGCACAAGGGTTGAAGCAACGTGGCGGATAATGGAAGAAACGGCGCTTGGTACACGTCCAGAAACGAGCTCTGTGAGATGTGTGCTCAGAGCAGGTTGACACAGTTCTCCCTGGCAGCCCACGAGTAAAGCACAGAAATGTTTGAAGCTTTGGTCTCTAGTCTTCTAAGTAACGAGCTTATAGCTTTTCTTTTTCCCTTAGACTTTTTCCACCCCATCCCTGACTCTCAACATTTCATCTTGTTCATTTCTCCCTGAGAAAACGGATTGCTGTCCGATGAGAACTACCTCGTCTTTCTACCACCAGAACTGAAACGACAACAATACATGAACTGTGTCTAGTGATGGCATGGAAGAAGAGTTCACACAGGTGTCTCAAGGCAACCGATCCAGCTGTGCGGTACCTCCACTCATTCTCACAGGCACGGAGGTTCTCTTCCGGGATTACTCCCCTCTCCTCTGCATTATCTGCCCCCCTTTCTCTCATTTTGGCTTTGAAGTGTTTGTCCACCTACAATTTAAAGTTTTAACCTACCACTCATATCACTGATTTTCTCTAAAATTATGACTCCCAAAGGAGCTATCAAAAACTATGATCTCTGTCCCCACTTCATTTTTATATCATTCTGGTGGGACTCTGTGTCAACAATTTCAGTACAGTCTAAATCTCTTATCAAACTTACTGGCCAATTTTTTATTCCATATTTTATTCAACCTCCCATAAACCCGTATCAGAGCTATCAATCACTCTCTTCCCGCTTGCATTACTTCCTCCGGCTCCTGAGCACATACTGACACTCCCCCTACCCAACTCTCTCCCTTCTAAGTCCTTCATCGACTTCTCTAAATACTTCATCTAGATAACCGTTTCCAGTCCACTCTGAGATTCACATCTCCAACCCCATGCCTCACTTAGACTCTAGAATCTTCTATATCGAGTAGAAGAAGAGAAGAAAGGAGGAAACAGAGAATAGGAAAGGAAAAGAAGGCAAAAAGTCAGCCATTGGTCTACGTGTTCGTGACGCAGATGAGGAAGAATTCTTTAAAATGATCAGCTTATGCTGACCAGTCTCTGACGTAGTTTTATCCCTAAATGAGTGGGTTTTGTTCATGAATCTAAAATCCTGAATGTTGATTCCTATTATAAATTGGGGAAAGCATTTTGAACACCATATGGCCTACTTTTAGGTTTCTAGGCAACAGGAATATCACACAGAGGAAGAGTGGTAAGAGGGTGCCATGTGTAATGATTACATATAAACCAGGAGCTTTCAAAAAAGAATTCGATGTACTTTTTACCAAATAGTGGCTGACAAATGTATTCATCTCTTATAGAACTCTCTACTAAGAAAGTACTTATGAATATAGCAAAAAAAAGAAAAAACAGACATGGTGCCACATTCAACCCTTTGGAGGCTGAGGCAAGGGATTGGGAGTTCAAGGACAGCCTGGCTACAAAACAAAAAACAAAAACAAAAGCAAAACAAAAAAAATAAAAAAAATGAAAAACCCCAGGGTTTTCACATGAGGTATTTATAAATCTAAATACTCAACAGAATAGCTATAGATTGACTATTCCATGGGCTGGAAGAAAAAAAAATTTTTTTTCCGAGACAGGGTTTCTCTGTGTAGTTTTGGAGCCTGTCCTGGATCTCTCTCTGTAGACCAGGCTGGCCTTAAACTCACAGAGATCCGCCTGGCTTTGCCTCCCCAGTGCTGGGGTTAAAGACGTGCGCCACTGCTGCCTGGCGGAAAGAATTCTTAAAGGATGGTGGTGAGATGGTGAGGAAGGACAGTCCAACAGCTCAAAAGACAACCACAGTGTAAAAACAAGGTGTAAACTCTGTTCAGTTATTAACCGCTCTTAGCGGCCGAATGAAGCAGTTTTGCAGGCCAGAGACATGAAAGAAAGACTAACCAGTGAACTGAAGCACCCACCTATAGGAAAAAATATTAAAAATGACTGCTTTGAAACACTCCTATCCAAAGAAAGCTCTACTCTTGTGAGACACAAACCACCATGTTTTAATTTAAAAGAAACAGCTAGCAAGCTTAAGCAGGACTAAGCCCAGGAATGTATTTAACCCATAATTGTCAAAACAAAAGTAACTAGGTGGTACCAACTTAGAGAGAGTGAGTGATGATAGCAACCATTCTCAAAATAAGACTAGGTGACTAATGGGTGCCAGGGTGAAGCTTTGATCGTATAATACTCATCAGGAGAGTCACACAGAAGACAGGACTTGACTAGAATCCTTGAAGTCTACTCTTGCAGAAATGCTGCATGACCAATGCCTTCGTGCAAACACTTCATCTGCTGTTCAATTCCGTAGGAGAAGAGATCATTTAAAAATACATTTATCTTTTCCTTTGAGAATTTCAGCATTGTATTTTGATCATATCCACCCCCAACTCCTTCCCCTAAGCCCTCCCACATCCACCCCAGAGATCATTTTTGGCTCAGCAAAGAGTTTTAAACTAACAGGTTTCAAGTATCATAAAATGTCACGTACCTACTCAAATAATAACTGTAACAGATTTGAAGGATAGCTTGTTTTTTATCTAAGGATAGAAAGATTTATAATGAATAGCACATTTGAATTGTAAATTGAAAAGCTAATTTACTCATTTGTTTATAAAACATTACTGATAATCAGCAATGTCCATGCCGAGTCCTTGAGAGCAAGAAATTTAAGGTATAGAAAAACAAGCATTTATACAAGAAACAGGGGATAACTGTTTCTACCTTTGTATCTCCGTATCTCTATTGTGATGGTGGTAACTCTGTTGGGCACCGTAGCAAACTTCTTGGTTTGAATCCACTCACTCATTTTATGAGTTTGAGCATACTAATTAATCTCTCTGCACCTTTTTAAAATCTGCCAAATACAGATAATGACAGCATTTCTTCACAGTTACTATGAGATTAAAAAAATGAATAAATCATGTAAATTAATTAGGAGTGCCTAACATACAAATATTACTCAAATGTTACTTCTCATTATTAATAAAAAAACAGCATGTAGATGATTCATATACTATACAGATTTAAAAGCATAAAATCATGCATATATATATATATGTGAGCTAATTAATAAAGATGTCAGCTGTAATGCATCTATATCAAACACACCACTCACATCCTTCTAGAAATGAACTTACTAAACAGCTTATGTACAATATTTAAATCAAAGGAGAAAAGTCCTTTAAAAATGTCAGGGTAGTGAAAGGCAGGTAAGTGACTCCAACAAAATGGCTCAACCACTGTCCAGGTTAGATTCTACAGCTCATCTTCCGTGCTTTGGGGCACCTTAGATGCTGATGACCACTCTCAAATTGAAATTCTCTCTCTACCAGGTGTTCACGAACTATACTCTTTTAGACTTATTCTGTGGTCTTTCTTCCTTGGGAGTTCCCCCATTGTCCCCTTGGGTTCTTTTATTCATCCTGATGGCCTTTCCTATATCATGATTTCTGAAATTCACTATTATTGGCATTTCTGAGGAGATTCATCATGCACATTGAAGAGGATTAACAGCAGCCTTGACCTTTCCCAGTTAGATGCTAGTAGGGTCCCTTCTCTAACTGCAACAACAACAACAAAAACTTGCTTTAGACATTGTCAAATGTTCTCTAGAAGGAGGCAAAAATCATCCCCATTTGAAAATCACTTACCATGACATAGAAAACTCATCTTCTGCCTCCTGCTTCCTTATACTGATGGAAATTTAATTCACCATGATTTGTCACTAGAACCCCTGCAATCATTTCCTAACTGGACCTCACAACTGCCAATCATCAAGTTAGTATCAGACTGCTGAATAGAAGTTTAAGAGCTGAGCAAATCCCAAGGCTGTTGGGCCATGCTGCTGAATATTTTCTTGGGACATCTGTGAGACAAAGGAAAAGAATTGAATTTGTGAGGTATTATAAATTATATCCTGAAACATATTGGAATATAAATTTTTTGATGACATAACTTCTGGAAGTAAAGCAGCTATGTGTAAACAGTGTACCTTCCAATAAAGAAACAAGCATTTCTTTTTAAAAATGTAAACTCAACAGCAGCATTTCTCTAGGAAATTTTTAAGAATGTGATCTTTAACTAAATGTTTCAAACCTGAAAAGAGTATTAGAGCACATTGGGGCTAGAGGAAGAAGTAAAATAACTCAATGAGTTTTTACTCTCTTGCCATGGAAGCCTCATGATCCCCAGAATCCACATTAAAAAACCTAACACAGTGGTACACATACATAATCCTAGAACTCCTATGGTGAGAAGAGAGATGGGGATGGTCTCTTGTGATCCAACTAGCTTGAAATACCCACCCAACTGGAGAACTGGCAGGAGAGACCCTGCCTAACAAGATGGAAGGAGAGAACCCACTACCAAAAGGTGGTCACTGACATCTACATGGTAAGACAAGCATAAATGTGTACGTGCATGTGCGCACACACACATAAACTAAGTAAATAAATAGAACTAAAGAATTTTAAATACAATGATATTTGCATAAAGATTTTATGACAAAAGGGTATGATGGTTTGTGCCTATAAGCCCAGAACTTGAGTAGCTAAGGTAGGAGGTACTCAAATAATAACTGTAATAGTGTTGGGTAAGAGGAGGGAGGAAGATCATGACTTCATGACTAGTCTGAGCTACATAGTGATACTGTGTTTTAAACAACAAAACAAACCCAAATTCATTATTTTTATAGCACTGAATTTGGGAAAAAACATATAATCAAATTTTAAATATAAATAAAACATTTTTATAGACATACAAATGCAATAATCATTTTAGTTTTCAAGTTCTCTGCTATTTCAATAGCTCTTTGTCTTTAAAGAAGAAAAATATAAATTTAAGAAAAGACACAGTTGTCACAAGCAATTGTTTAGCCAGTTATAAAATAAAACATTTTGCGAAAAGTAAAATGTTAGATTCCTGAAATATAATAGCTAACTTTATATAAATTCATGATTTTTATGGAAGTCATATAAAGGCAATACCATCCGTAATGTGAAACAGTGGTCGCTTTGGAAACCCCAGATAGCATAATCAACTTTATAGTATGTCCATAGAAAGATGCTCCTGAACATACCATGTGATAATTCCTCATAAACACATCAAAACTCATATCCTGCATTAGTTACTTTTTTATTGTTGTTTTAAAACACAGAGATCAAGGCAACTTATAGAAGGAAGAGTTTATTTGAGCTTGCAGTTCCAGAGGGATAAGAGTTCATGTGGCAGAGCATAGGAGTGGTGGCTGGGGCTAGAAGCTGAGTGTTTACATCTTGATCTGAAAGCCTAAAGTGGAGAGCTTAAACTAGGAATGGGGGAGGCTTTGAAACCCAATGTCTGTCCTCAGTGGCATTCTTCAAAGTTCCATCATGGCCACCCCTCCTAAACCTACCTAAACAGCACCACCAATTGGAGAGCAAGTGTTCAAATACCTGTACCTATGGAGAACATCCACACACAAATCACCACGTATCCTAAGTTGAAAATGCACCGAGTACATCTAAAGCAATAAAAACCACAGCTTAGGAACATAATACAGTGTAGAATGTTTTTGTTTAGCCCTGAGATTAAGTGGCTGAATGTAAGTACAGCTGACATTTCCAGAGAGTTTGATGCTGCACAGTGCTAGCCAAGGCTGAAAACAAAATCAAAACTAAAAAATCAAAGCATGGTTTCTAGTGAATTTGTGTCATTTCTGCACTATTATAAGCCAAAATATAAAATAAAGCAAATGTCAAACCATCAGTAAGCATGAGGACTACATAACTTCACGTGCATCATGGTATTTAAAGACTTGCAAGAACATACAGGGTAGAATGTTGTTTATAATATATCCTGATCAGGAATGAAGACATGGAAGAGTGAGATGTTAGCTATCTTTCTCACATTTATATAGCTAACAAGATATAAAGCTTAATATTAGCCTTGGGTCTATCAATCTTAGAACCTATACTTTTCCCGTTAAGCAATACTATTTACCTGAAAGTTACCAGTGCCTTACGAACCAAATTCAGGTTTCTATAAGATCTGTATAAAAATAGTTCAGGTCTGTGTGTCAGTTCTGCAGATAAATGGGAGGAAGAGGAGGAGTGAGTGAATAGGAGACAACAAAACTACGTGGAATTAGGGAAAGCTTTGCTCCAGAACTCCAATCAACTAATGGAGCGGGTACAGTTCTGAAAGAGAAAACAGTGAAGAAAATGGTAACCTAGGCTTTCCATTGTGTATTTTCATTATTCTAGCAACAGTATCAAGGAAACACCATCATATGAATACTTGAGACTCATGCTGTACAAACTGTAGAAGCCTGTTTACCTTTCAGGCTTTGTTTGGGTTTTTATTTGTTTGTTTGTTCTGTCATACTAGGTAGACAAATTGCTAAATGGTCTTATTAATAAAAAACTCAGAGCCAGATATTGTGGTTAAAATCGAGAGATCAGAAAAGCAGAAAGAAGCCAGCCACGCTTTCACCACTTGGAGATTCTCAGCCAAAGAGACCTACTTCCTGTATACCCACGCCTATATGCCTTTCTGTTCTGCCATCTCATTTCCTCTCTCCACCCAGCTACATCACTTCCTCTTCCTGCCCAGCTCCGTCACTTTCTGTCTGTCTGTACAGACCTCCAGACCTTTATGGTTAGTGCTGGGATTAAAGGTATGTACCACCACGCCTGGCTCTGTTCCCAGTGTGGCCTTGAACTCACAGAGATCCGGATGGATCTCTGTCTTTAGTGATAGGGTTAAAGGTGTGTGCCACCATTGCCTGACCTCTATGTTTACTATGCTTTTTCCTCTGATCCTCAGATAAACTTTACTGGGGTACGCAGATAAAATATCACCACAATACTATGTAAGAAAATGCTCCAAAAGTGAGTTTTTCATAAAATCAGGTATGTTTACTCAGGCTATATTATTTCTCATGGTACCTATTCTTCAGTTTCAATTCTTGACTACATAGAAACTTAATTTTAAGTAAGTTATTTCAAAAATAATAATTAATTGAAAGGTTATTTATTCACCATTGACAACACATAATTAGTTCTCCTACGGGGTTCCTGGGGTAACAAATAGGATTCATTTTTAGTAGCTAATGGTAATTACAAGTGAAATTAAACAGGCTGAGTAACTTGAATTACAGACTTACATAGCCAACTGTGTGAGTCCCCATAGAAGTTATAAAGAACAAAGCTAAGGTTCTACATTATATTTCACTTTTATTAAATAACAATTATAGATTTTGGAGAGACGATTCACCCATTAAGAGCACTTGTTGCTATTGCAAAGGCCTTGGGTTTTGGTTTCAAGCACCCACTTGGGGACTCACAGCCTTCTTTAGTCCCAGTGCCATTAATGGCATCTTCTTCTGGTCTCTGCAGGCACACACAGAGAGGGCACACACATGCATGTTGTCAAACAAATAGATAAAATAAAAAATTTTAAATATTTTTTTAAAATTATAATTGTGGATGTTGAGCTGCAGAGACAGTTCAGCCATTAAAGGCTCAACTTTTCTATAGCACATGATTTAAGTCCTTGGATACACATCGTCAAACACTCTCTCTCCAGCTTCCCTTAACAGGGTCGGGAGAGGCATCACTCAGTAGTTAAGTGAGTATACTGCTCTTGCATAGGACCTGAATTCTGTTCCCAGAACCCATATCACGTGTCCTGCTGCTTCCCAGCACCTATATCTTCAGCTTCAAGGGATCCACATCCACTGGCACGTTGTCTCCTTGGGCACCTGCACTCACATGCAGACATACACATTGCAGATATCCATTTTATCAATAACATTTTTCTTTTTTCTTTCTTTCTTTCAAGTATTTCAAGAGAAAGGAGCTTTGTAAAGTTTTGATTTGTTGTTGTTGTTGTTCTTGGGGATGGTGAGGCTAGTACAAAATCAGGGGAGCTTTCAAACTCCATTTGGCTCTTTTTGAAAGAAGAGCCATGCACTGTCATCTATTTGAAACCAGAGTTATTTTTACTATTATTATAACTTCCGAAGTGAAAGTTTTACGTGGAAATAATTCTAAACGTAGCAGTGACAAAACCATAACTGTTTTAAATTTACTACTTTAAAGGTCCGTAATGTTTCATTAGATTTTATAAAAAATTCCAGGTGCTTTTATTCAAAAGAAATTAATTTATCATTAGTGATACAGAAAAATAGAACATAACATAATGCAAAATGTATATAAGGCAAATAACAATTTTAAAAGCAATTATCACTACACTAAGATAAAAAACCTTAAAGAGGAAAAGTATTATTAAACATAGAAAAGATGTTGATAATGATTGTTGTTAGAAATAATGACAAAGTGGTACATGAAAGCTAGGACTACAATTTCATACATGCATGTTCTTAATGAGATGTCATAGAATTTACACAGTAACAATTAACTGAACTTTAATTCTTGACTGCTGATTCGCTGCGACCAGTTGGCCCTCCATTCTGCCACCAGGCCTTCCCTCAAACCACACGCTGTATCAAGTTCTTCCTTCCTTAAGTTGCTTGTCCCTAGGTATTTTATGTTAGTAATGGGAAAAGTAACTAACACATAAATTTAGTGCTGCTAAGTAGAGCTGCCGCTGAGATAAACCCAACTCCATGGCACTTGGGCCTTTGCAACTAGTTAGCAAGAGCAACGTGAAAGGGTTTGGAACTTTGGGTTAGAAAAGCCCTTGAACGCTGTAAGCAGACATTCCATTTTGCTTGCTGTGGTAAATACCATGATGAAAAGCAACTTGGAAGAAAGGCGTTTATTTGGCTTACACTTCCAGATCACAGTCCATCACTGAGGGACGGCAGGAGCTCAAGCAGGAACTAAAGCAGAAACCGAAGCAGAAACCGAAGGGTAGCTCACTAGCTGGCTCCCTCTGGCTCTCACTCATCCAGCTTTCTTATGCAACTCATACCCACTTGCCTGGGCTTGGTGCCACAGTGGACGGGTGCTGTGGGATGTCTTTCTGCACACTGTGAATATATGTTGTTCCCATTGGTTAATAAATAAGCCAATTTGGCCTATGGCAAGGTATCTTAGAGGCAGAGGGGAAATCCAAGGGGAGAGACAGAAAAGAGAAAGGCAGAGTCTAGAGAGACACGGGACACCCACCAGAGAAGCAACATGTAATGGGACGCAGGTAAAGCCATGGAACACGTGGTGATACATAGATTAATAGCTATGGGTTGAGTTAAGTTATGAGTTAGCTAGCAAGAAGCCTGCCATAGGCCATAGAGTTTGTAAATAATATTAACTCTCTGAGTGATTATTTTATAAGTGCCGTGGACCACAGGGCCAGGTGAAACCCAAGAAAACTCGGGCTACAGGCTGGGTCCTCCCATGTCAATCAACAATCAAGACAATTCAGGCCAATCTGATGGAGGCAATTTTTCAGTTAATGCTTCCTTTTCCCAGGTGACTCTAGGCTGTATCAACTAGACAATAGAAACGACATGCACAAAGCTTAGTGAGCTATTCTGGTAGACATTTTGGAACACCAGAGATTGAAATAAATGTGGACTGTGGATGCCTGGCTCCTGAGGTTTCAGAGAGGAACAAGACTCAGGAAGCAGATTAGAGGTCATCTAGGTTACATTCTGGCAAAGAATCTAGCTGCATTCTGCCTGTGTCCTGAGAACTGAAATGAGGCTGAACTTAATAGCGTTGAGTAGAAAAGATCAACAAGTGTTGCAGAATGGGAAAAAAAAAAAACAGTGCAGTTTGTCTAAGAAAAGGACAGAGGCAAAATTAAAGTTACAGCTGAAAAGAAGCTGCCATTTTAAAAGAGAAACCTCCTGTTCTGCAGAGGCATAGGAAAGGTGCTGGAGGGCAGGACCCCACTCATCCAAGGCTCCAACTTGTGAAAATGCAAACTCATTTGAAAGAAGAAAGCCTAGACTCAGAACACCACAGTGGTTCCTTCCTCCTAGAAAAAGACTGCCTAGGGAAGTGTTTTCCCTAGGGTCAGCACACAAGAGTGGCTACAACTGTAGTCCAAGTGGGTCATGGTCTATTTTCAGCTGGCAGCAGAACTTGGTAGTATTGTCTACATGGCACCGGTTTTGTAAGCGTGAACAATGCTGCCTGTACTCTGGCTCTATGGTTCCAGAAAGCCTATGAGGTCAAGCAACATGTGACAGGGTTAGAGATACTGCAAGAGACCCTGAGAGTGAAGGTAAAATGTGAGAGTGAAGGGCCCAGGTTGTCTGAGAGGTCAGACCAATGGACATCCACCAAAGAATGCTGCATACATGGAACAGAGAGGTCAAGAAAGACTCACACTGGAGGTGGGAAAGCAGGGGCTACCTAAGCCCTTTGGAGCTGACATTATTTTTATCAGTAGTCCAAGACGCCAGACATGGAGCTATAATATTAGCTATTTCCTCTGGATGTCTGTCTTGCTTTGGTTCAATCTTTTTGCTCTACTCCCATTCTTCAGTTTGGAAGAGAAACACTTACTTTGGCCACTTTATGTTGGAAATATGTAGTTTTTCCTTTAATTTTCAAGGGGCTCACAGTTAAGAGATTGATTTGGTCCTCAGAAGAGACTTTAGGCATCTAAAGAGTGTTGGGAATGTTATTCATCAAAGGGACCTGGAAAGTTGAGATGGATGCATTTCACACCATGAAACAGACATGCACTAATGGGAGCTATGGGTGGAATGCTATGGTTTGAATGTGAAATGTCTCCCGCATACTCACATTTGAACACTGGGTCCCAGCCTGATGGTACTATTGGAGAAAGTTGTAGAAGCCTTAGGAGGTGGATTCATGTTGGAGGTATTTGTAGCTGGGCTTTATGACTTTATAGCTTGACCTATGTCCTGTTCATTCTGCTTTGTGACTGAAGATACAGTGATCCAGCTGGCCTCCCACTTCTGCTATGTCTTTCCTGCCAGACTGTGTCTCCTCGAACTGTAAGCCAGAATAACTCCTTACTCCCTTAGATTACATTTTGTCAGTTAATTTGTCACAGCAAGGAAGAAAGCAGGATAGTATAGAAACATGAATATAATAAACATGTAAAATACTCCTTGTTTCTTATAAAAATAACTGAATATAAGAAAAAATGATAATTCATCACAGATTATAGTACATTGTTTTCAATATTTACTAGATAAAATCGCAAAAGCTATACTCAGAATGCAACCTACTCGTGCATGTCATGTGTCCCATGCAAATGATAACTACATAATTAGAAAGCTTCATTTAAGCTTGTTGTCTATATACAACAAACAGTTCATGAAGTAATTAGTGCAAGGAAAATTCTCAAAGGTAAATTAAGAAACTGTTGAATAAAATATTAGAATTGTAATACAATAAGTAAAAATTAACAATTTCATTTTTATTAATATCAAATCTACAAACTCCCTTAAATATTGCTTTTATATAGAAATAACAAACTCTTAAAAACTAAAATATAATAAGACTCTTAGTAACAAAACATCAAAGATGAAAAACTGTAATTTAGAAACATAAATTACAAGGCATGGGAAAATGGATCAGTGGTAGAGCCCATCATCACAACAAACAAACAATTATAAAACCAAAGGACAATAAATTATCTGAATATCTAACCCAGAAGTTAAGAAAATATAGTAAACCAGAAGGCAGAATAATGAGAAAGCAAATAAGACTGGAAATCAATGGGATATAAATTCTGTTTATACAGCTCCTATTTGCAATAGATGGTTGCCAACACAGAGACCCACAACTAGCCAAGAGGAAGAGAATAAGATACTTACTGCAGAATGCTCAGCCCTAAATGGAAAGTATACACTGCATCACCTCCACCAAAGACTCAGGGATGATTGCAGAAGAGGGAACAGAAAGAGTGTAAGATAAGACAGTGTCTTTGGGACACAGCAGGACCGCTGCATATACGAACTCAGTGGTTGTAACAGCATCTGCAAAACCTATGCAAGCCCAAGACAAAGAAAATCGCAGCATGAAGGTGGGAGCTGGACACACAATCCCATCCCTAGCTGTGGAGCTACTGGCAATTGTTAGCTGCTAGGAGAAGGAGAGGCAGTTTTCTTTAAGAGTATAACCTCTGGCAAGTTATCATGTGTGAGTGAGTGGAAGACCATACATCCAAGAATATTTGGGTAGCTCAAATTGGCCTGGATAGGTTTTTATAAAAAAAAAAAAGTTTGGTGAATAGAGAAGGGGTATGAATCTGGTAAGAGTTGGGGCAGTGGAGGGTGAGTACGAAACACATTGTGTAAACTCTCAAAGAACTAATAAATTATTTTAAAGAAGAATCCAAAATATGAAAAGCTGGTTCTTTAAAAAGACCAATAGGATATAAGAACAGCATGTGGAAGCAGCATAAGCAGACAATAGGAATCTTTGAAAAAACATATCTACAGAGCTCAGAAATAAAGCATAAGCATGGGATAGAGAAACGGCTCGGCAGTTAAAAGCACTGGCTGTTCTTCCAGAAGACCTGGGTATGCTTCACAGCTGCTATATGGCAGTTCATGAATTTCTGTAACTCCAGTCCCAGGGCCCTCTTCTGGCCTCCACTGGTACTGCACTCATGAGATGCACAGAAACACATGCAGGCAAAACACCCATACACATAGAAAAAATAATTAAAATTTTTAAAAACAATTATGAACAACAAGTTCCTGAAAAAAATAACTGATAAGAATTTATTAAATAAGAAAACTGAAAGTCTGACGGTCCTGTAAGTAGCAAAGAAATAAGAACAATGGTTACAAAATCTTGGCAAATATCCATAGGGCCTAATTGTATTTACAAGTTGATTCTATCAAATTGATGACAGATCATTTTATAGAAGTTCTTTTGGATAACAGAAACGGGAAAATTATTTTTTAAATTTTTATATATATATTTTCTTCTTCCTCTTCTTCCTCCTCTGCCTCCTCCTCCCCTTTTTTTCTTGATATTTTTAAGATTGAGGCTAACCCAGGATAGCCTAAGGTTTAAGTAGTTCAGACTGGTCAGGAATTCACTATGTAGTCCAAGCTAGTGTATATATAACTCCTAATCTTCCTGCTTCCTCCTCCTGAATGCTGAGATGACAAGCATTTGTCACAATTGTGAAAATTAATAAAATCTCAATACCAGATAGATAGTGAGAGAATGGAAAATTAAAGGGCATTATTCTCATCCTTTAATACTTACTAGTGTAGGTATAAAACTAAATAAAATATCGAGTCTAACAGTATATGTAAAAGCTAAAATATGAACAAGTTGGGTTTATCCCTGGAATGTGTTTAACTCTACGAAGATCAGAGCTATAGCTTATGTTCCTACTGTAGCCTGCTGACACCTTTCCTGTCTCTGAACTGTACCAAAGCTTGTTGCACTGCAGAGGCTGTTCCCTTCAGCCAAGTGAACCAGATCTTTTTACCATTAAGCCCAGAATGCAACCTACTCAAAAAACAAAACAAAAACCCTGAAGCTAAATCTACCATGATCCAAGCATTTACTCATTAGTCAATATCTAAAATTAGCATTCACTAACTTCTTCTCACTGCCCATGCATTCTTCATCATAATTCTCTCCTACACCATCATCCTGGCAATCTGTGCTCTTGCTCTTTAAAATCATCACACTTCCCTTTATTTCTAACTTTCTCTCAAAACATTTCTTTCCCATATTTGGTATAATGGAAATCTCATTCTCCAGGGTATCCTTTTCCTTTATCATGTTGAGTTGCTGTCTATTATTTAATGATCATTATTTGGTACTTCCCCTTACTTCACACTAGTAATCACTGATTTCTATAAATACCTTCATCTTTTAGGCATGTGTTACTAGTGTGTGGCACTTTTGTTCTATCCCTGTAACTCGACAGTTGGCTCACTAATCTTTTCTCTCATTTATCAAAAACTGGATATTTGTTTTAGAGTCTTCCTTTATACTTCAAGTCCTTTCTCTATGTTGGGTGTCATCATTCCAACAGACAACCCATCACCTGCAAACGCCATGCTGTTCCTTGACCTCTTCATCTCATGTGAATGGCCTGTTTCACCTTGGCCATTGACTTCCTTTGATGTCACATGTATGTTGTTTCTTCCCCCCCAAACATTATTGTAATGTTATTTACATGTGGGGTACCAAAGATGCAGTTCTTGTATTGCTTCTAGACCTACACTGTTGTGTGATATTTTGTTTGTGTTCTGACAAATAAAGCTTGCCTGGAGATCAGAGGTGGAGCTAGCTACTAGTTAACTACAGGCCATGGTGGCTCATACCTTTAATCCCAGCACTTGGGAGGAGAAAGCAGGAAGATCGGGAGTTCAAAGCCTCCCTGGGCTACATGAGATTGAACCAGTCTAAGAGAAACAGAGCCCAGCAGTGGTGATGCATGCCTTTGATCCCAGCACTTGGGAGGTGGAGACAGGAATACAAGGCAGGTGGAGACAGGTTCTTGCTCATTCAGTCTGAGAATTCATAGAGACAGGGCCTGTTCAGTCTGAGGATTTGTAGAGACAGGAGCCCCTCACCATTTGGTCTGAAATTTTGTAAAGGTAAGACGTCTCTAGGTGGCTGGCTGCTCTGCTTCTCTGATCTTTCAGCTTTCACCCTAATATCTGACTCCAGGTTTTTATTGTTAAGACTAATTAGGATCACGCTTCACTCCACGTTTCTCTTCATAGTACATTTACAATTTATTGATGAGTGCACACTTTGTTATCTTTCTTCTCTTCACTTCTTTTCTTGTTCATCTTCACTTGAATTAGGATCATCATTGCCCTAAATTTCCAAGCACTTGTTTGTTTTTAATTGATTTATTAAACAAGACTTCCAAATACTGCTATGTATTATTGTCATTGTTTTAGCTACAGTGGATTTATAGTGTAACAACCAACATTTTAAACAATACTATTCCCAATTTCTATATTTGAATCTGAAAAGACAGATTCCTGGGGGAAAGCACACAATTTCATTCATTTATAGTCAGTAACCTCAACAGTAAATGTGCCAGTTAGCAACCCCACTGTTTATTTAGTCAGCTTGATGACCCTTTCTTTGAAACAAGTTTTACAAATGTCCTTTTTCTCACATTTTTTTTTTTTCATTCTCAAATGACTTTACAAACCTCATAGAAATCTAAAGGGATCAGATATCACTTATCATCACCAAGCCTAACAGTCATAGACATCAGCATCAACTTTCTCCTGACTCTGGATGAACTACTGTGTTAGAACCAGCATTTCGTCTCCAAAAGCCAGTGTTTATTTACTCCTTTAAAGCTGACCTTCCTCACTTTCTGAGGACGCTTAGATCCATGTTTTCTCAGTTGTTTTTTTTTTATAGAGTTGTCCTTTCTTGATTCTACATTCCCAATCATTCCCTTTCATCAGTGTCTTTCTTCTTGATATATAATATGTACAATTACATAAGCATTAACCACTAGGTTTAGAAAGTCACTTTCTTGAGCCTCAGTTTCTAAATTGCCAAAAGAAGAAAAGAAAAAAAGAAAAAGTATGATTGAAAAGAAAACACTTTGTACATTGAAAAGCACTGTTTAATGAGTGCTGATGCTGTTAGTTTGCCCCAAATCCAAAGACTGAACTGACTTATCAAGAGTCTATTGATGTCAGATCTGGTAGTACAACTCAATTTTCTAGTTATTAGCTATATATACTTATTTCTTATTAGCTATTTAATGGTAGCATACATTTTCAATAGTATTAACTCTAAAGTACAGAAAAAATGTTATTTAAAAAAATCTATGTTATTTTTACTTAGACAAAGATACAGTAAACTAACATCTCAGTTAATTGATATTCTATGTTCTATTCATAGGATTAGGCACCTCATATACCTACAACCAGAGTGGACTTGACTAAAATACTGAACTACTTTCTGTACTGACTGAACTACTTTCATTTTTATCATTAAGTTCTGTTGTGGAATAATTTATTTATTTGTTTATTTATTTATTTATTGGTTTTTCGAGACAGGGTTTCTCTGTGTAGCTTTGGAGCCTGTCCTGGAACTCACTCGATAGCCCAGGCTGGCCTCGAACTCACAGAGATCCTCCTGCCTCTGCCTCCTGAGTACTGAGATTAAAGGCGTGCGCCACCACCGCCCGGCGGAATAATCTTTTTGTATGCTGTAAATTTTTGTCACTTGGACTGGTTTAATAGGAAGTTGAATGGATGACAGCTAGGCAGGAATTTGGGGCAGAGAGGATGCTGGGAAGAAAAATGATGGAGTCATGAGGAGTCACCAACCAGACACCGAGGAAGCAGGAAAGTAACATGGGCAGAGTAAAGGTAATAAAGCCACCAGGCAGAAAGTAAATTAATAGAAATGGGTTGATTTAAGTTATAAGAGCTAGATAGAAACAAGCCTAAGCTATTGGCTGAGCTTTTTTCTTTCTTTCTTTCTTTTTTTTTTTTTTTTTTGTTTTTTTTGAGACAAAGTTTCTCTGTGTAGCTTTGGAGGCTTTCCTGGAACTCACTCTGTAGCTCAGGTTGGCCTCAAACTCACAGAGACCTGCCTGCCTCTGCCTCCTGAGTGCTGGGATTAAAGGCGTGCACCACCACCACCCGGTAGAATAATCTTTTTGTATGCTGTAAAAGTCGAGGCAGAAACTCAAAGCAGGAACCTGGAGACAGGAATTGATGCTGAGGCCATGGAGGAGGGCTGCTCACTGGCTTGCTCAGTATGCTTTTTTTTTTTTTTTTTTTTTTTTTTTTTGGTTTTTCGAGACAGGGTTTCTCTGTGTAGCTTTGCGCCTTTCCTGGGACTCACTTGGTAGCCCAGGCTGGCCTCGAACTCACAGAGATCCGCCTGGCTCTGCCTCCCGAGTGCTGGGATTAAAGGCGTGCACCACCACCGCCCGGCTTCAGTATGCTTTCTTATACAGCCCAGGACCACCTGCCCAGGGATGGCACCACACAGTTGTCTAGAAAATGGCCCGCAGGCTTGCCTACAGGTCAATCATATGGAGGCTTTTTTTTACCAAAGGTTGATGGTCGACTTCTCAGATGACCTTAGCATGTCTCAAGTTGACAAGGAAACTATCCAGCACATTACTCAAATGTTTACTCTTCCTAAATATGAACAATTCTTCAGTTACAGTCATCAAGTTAAGGTCCTATCAATAAGCCTTTGCCCCACTTACAACACAAATATTTTATAAAAATCAACGAGACAATGAATGCAAAAGTGCTTTCAAAATGGTGAAAGCAAAGACAAACCAGTCACTTCTCTTTGGTTTGTACTTAATGACAAGTATTAACATTAATATGTCTTTAACAATTTCCTGGGCATTTGTTGTTCAGTAGCTAATCTAGAGTTAGACAAACCCCTAAAGTAAGAATCAAGCAAGCTTATGAGCTTGTCATAGAGCTTGGGTTAATCCCCACTGTGTTGGTAAGAAAGTGATTAACTACTAATAGCTAGAAAAACTTAGGACTTATGCAAACAGAAGAGACCTTTTATGGGTCTACAGAAGTAGCATAGCAGAGGAAAGCAAGCACTAGATTAAAAGGCAAACTGTGCTAACTGTATAGGTCATATTCCCCTTCTGAATAAAGAATTTCTTCCCTTTGTCTTGTAACTTAGGTTTATCCTGAAAGTTAAGATGGCCAACACATGTAGTAGAAATCATATTCAGGAATTTCCAAGCCAGGGTTCTAGGACTCAATCTCTAATTCTCTCTTGTTGGAATGTTCATGCTTGTGTCACTTCTTTGACCCTAAGCATCATAAAATACGAAGAAACTCAGCCAGTATGATGGAAGAACTCGCCAGATGCAAACCCTACACAGAACTGAGATGTGATCCCTAGATTCCCAGTTGAGAGCTACCATCAATTGTCAACCGTGTGAAAGAACTATCTTGTATGTTTCAAATCCAATCTGCCCCTAGATAACAGATGTTCTAGCAACCACCAGGTAGAGAACTAAAGTGACTTCTGTCTACTCAGAGAACTGTGAGAAAAATGACTATGAAGTAAGTGGAGATGGTCTGTTAGCAATAGAAAACAAAAGTAATCTATCACTGCCATGACGAAAATAAAAGGAGCATCTGGACACCTGTTACTTATGAAGATGAAGCAAAGCATGGCAATGCTGTTTTCAATGTATTTGGTACACCTTGTTTCCCTGTTCTGCCATCACCAACTTTTGTACCTCAACAAGAAATTCACCACAAAAAAACATGTAATATATTTTAAATTTGCTTAACTTTACAAACAGTATTACACTATAGTACACTTGGCATTTGCCTAAACATTTCTAAGTATAATTAATTTTATTTGAGATAGGGTCTCACTATGCAGCCCAAACTGTCATTGAACTTGAAGTCTTCCTTCTTGCCTCAACCTCCAGTGCTGAAATTACAGGTATGAGCCATGAAACCAGGTTTTTAAATTCTACCTTTGTGTTTGCATGTAGGCCATTCTCCCTGCTAAATAAAAATTACATCCTGTATAATTTACTTATTTTTTAATAAATAAGTATTTGGATTATAGTCATAAACATTGTTACATACTCTTACAGTTGTATCTATGCAAGAATTTACCTAAGGTATGTATGTATACAATTACTTAACTCTACAAGACCAAACAGCTTTCTGAACACCTACAATGTGAAATGTCTTTTATCATACCATTTTTATTAGCACCTCCATGTCTTAATTTTTCAACCTAGTGAATGTAAAATGGTATTGATTATAGCCATAATTAGTTTCTTATGCAGATAAATCTCTTCATCTGTCTAGTCACATGTTCTTAAAATGCCTTGGGTTCTTTTTGTTTCTTTTTCTCATCTTTCTAAAGGATCATTAACAAAAAGTTAATAAGTATCCTCATGCTCTTGATTTTTAATGCATACATCTTTTTAATACAGTGCTAAATTAACTTGAATAGTGAATCTGACTTTCACATGTGTTAAGAAGTGTTATTAGCCTGTAGTTTTCTTTTCTCTGGCTATCCCTGGCTTTAACAACTAATATGAACCTCTCATATAATAACCGAGAAAGTCTTCCCTCATCACATATGCTTTGAATGTTTGGTTAATATTTTGAATATTAGTATTGACTTTAAAAGAGGGGTTAAAAAACTGAGGCTGGTATTGACAGAAAAAAAATTCTTAATTTGTTGACTATTCAACACTAGTGAACAGGTCCATTTAGCATCTGCATTTAACTAAAATTTTACCTTCCAGAATTTAGTCTATTTGATCTAAATGCTTTGCCCATTTAGTTTATTCTTCTGAGTCAGGGTCTCACTTGTCTGTTTTGTAGTGAGGATGCAGGCCAGGGTCTTGTGAAACATGTAGCTCTATGATTACTGATCCTATGTGTCCCCCTCTAGTCTCTTCCTTTATTTGTATTATGTCACTGCCTTCCTAATCTCCCTCTCACAGACTGTTTCACCCCTGATCGCTTTTTTGAAACGGTACCATCGAAAGTAGACCACACACTGAAATAATGTCATTTAAACATTCTTGGCCTGGTTCCTAGCACCAGACCCTCAGAGCACTTGGTTCTCACTGCCCTCCTACCTTTGAAGCCAGATTTTCCCAGTTATAGCCTTATTTGAAAATTCCACAGTAATGTTGCATAACAATATTTATTCAGTTTTACATCTGTTCACAATTTCTGTAAACACTTCATTGTGATTACTTTATACAAACAACATTAAATTTACAATATTAATCACTTTGTTCATTAATACTTCATTTCCGATCTTGCTTTTGGAGTAATTTTCCTCATTAACCATCCTTTTTCAGTTTCTTTAATGAAGGTCTGTTGTTTCTGAGTTTTGCTTTGCACCAACTTTTACAATTCCACTCACAATTCTGAAGGCAGTTTTCCGGTGTCTTGGGTACACAGTTGCTACTGCAGGTCTGTTCTGTATGTGACTGACTTGCCTTAGCTGAGGAACTGTACATGCCTTTGGCTTTTTTAAAACCTTGTTTTGTATCCTGTGGTTCACTACTTGGATCAAATCATGGATTTTATTGTTTTAAATGCGTTTAAGCTATAATGTGTTTCTTGAATTTATAAATGTTTTGCTAACGTTGTGTGGAGAACCCTGTCATCTCAAGTGCTGCCTCTCTTCCACTCTCCCCTCCTGGTTCTCCAGGACCCTGTCACCCTCCCTTCGCACATCCCTCCTGCTGCTCTGCCCTCTCACTTCACTGATCTCTTCAGCTGCCATTAACCAGCCTACAGTTTGCCCTCCTCCTTTAAAGAATGCACTCCACATTCTAAGGAGCACGACCTGGCTCTTTCCACATCGATGGCTCTGTCCTTTATTCCCTACATTGCTGTTGTGAACTTGGAAAGAACTGGCTTCAATGTGTATTTTTTCCTATAGTTTATTTCTTCTACTGTCTCAGTGAATCTTGTACCTCATGACTTACAATCATGAAAAAATACTGTTTGATCACAGTCTATGGGAGTCTTGGGCCTAAGTTAAGAGTGAGTCTATAGTTTGTTTCTGCCAGGAGCTACACAAGGCTACAAGGTGAGCGCTACTGAACATTAACTGCCCTACCTAGAAGAGCATCTCCGATTTACATTTTTCTTTGTTTTTGGTTTGAGGCAAATAGCATACTACACCCAGGAAACCACAGTCCATTTGTAAGTTAAAATAGTATTCACGGCCTCCAACTTGAACAATGTCTACAAAAGACTGCAACTGGGTGCAGATTAGAAAAGTCCTCTAGGATAAACTTAGCTGTTTATCCTATCAACTATGGTTTCCACTGACTGCTCAAAGGTTCGAGATTTTGATCAATGTGTGAGGCCGTTCAATAGGACTAAACTCTAAAATAGCTCGCATTTTGACTCTTCTGAAAATATGTAACAGTGATTTGTTACATGCAACTCCATTTAGATGCATCGTTTACTTTTGGAAATCTGGGCCAGATAATAAAAGCAGGGCTAAACCAGGCAGCTGGTGATGTCATGGAAGTCAGAAACATCTAATAGACATTAGCGTAGCAGAGCTCGTTGCTAGCTTAAATGCAGGTGGGCCATTTCCATCTTTACTTTTCATGGCTGTTGAGCAATGGTTTCTGGGTGATCAGGAAGCTTTTGGGCCTCACCCTAATCACTGAAGTAGTGAAAGGAGATGCCCGCCGCAAGGACCGCAAGTGTGAGTGCAGCAATCGCACCTGAAAGTGAAACAAACACAAAACAATGGAAGTGGAATGTGCAAAAGAATAGCTCGGCTGACCCTCAGGCTCTGAAGTGTGGGTAACAGATGGGCTGCAAGACAGTGCACACGACAGACATATGCATACATGCACCTACTACAAATATGAAAAGATATGCATGAACTAAAATCCAGAGAACTCTTAAATATGGTAGTAAGTCGAAAACTTAGGTCATAAAGATTGGACAAAGTGTCTCTATTGCACATACTCACACTAAGAGAAAACAGAACAAGTATTTTAAAAAGCTTCTGTAAGTATATCCATATATGTATGGACATACACATCCATATAAGTACACAGAGACACACATACGCCCATTCGTCAGCTGTTTCATACTTCCATGACACTGAAGCACAGATCTGGAGGGTAGTGCTTCTCAATCATTATAATGCACGTTTACTTGTGAGGCTATGGCCACTTTCATCACACTCAGCAAACACTGTCTTAATCTAACACGTTGGTGAAATGAAATTAATTTTAAGATCAAAAGAAAACTGAGAATCACTTCATTGTTCAAAGTCATAAAAAAGCAAATACCTATGTTTTGCTGGATCTTCATTCCGAGTGTAGTTTTATTCGGCTGCTCTGGTTGTTCGTCCCCTGTGTCGGTCAGTGACACTTCGCTCTTCAGAGAGGAAGTCATACAAGCTGCAAGAAATCAGAACTAACTACAGGAATCGAGAACTGCCATTTTTAAATGACATAATAAAGAATATACACAATCAACAGCGTTGTCCTTCCCCTCACCGACTTTTTTTTTAAAGATCTGTTTATTTTTATTTCAAAACTTACTTTATTTTTATGTGTATGTGTGTTTGCCTGCATGGATGTCTCTACACCACATGTGTGCCTGGTGCCCGTGGAAGTCAGAAAAGGACATCAAATCCCTGTTAGCTGGACTTACAGAAAGCTGTGAGTGAACCCAGGGGTGCGGGGAACTGAATCTAGACCCTCTGCAAGAGCAGCAAGTGCTCTTAACCACACAGTCATCTTTCCTGACCCCTCTTCCTCTTGTACAGAACATGAATTTGTTCATTACTGAATGGAGGTGGACTAAATTTCATGGGGTGCATATCAAAGTGACAGTCTTCAGAACACTCGATGTTGTTTTATTGTTGACCTAAACTGAACTGAACGACTCCTGTATTCATTCGGTCTTCAAACTCGAATTGGATTCCAGAAAGAAAACACGAGAAAGAACCTAGGTGGACTACATTATGTAAAAGTTTTCTATTTGGCCTAATGCAGAAAGAGATTACTGACTTTTAATCTCTGAAATCTGACATATACCAGGAAAATATCTAGAAACTTTACCTTGAAAACCTCTGAAAGTTAAGGAAGGCAAGTACTGCATCACATTTTACAAATCCTAGTAGGTAAAGTGTGAAGCTGAGGATTCTAGGTAGTCGACTTGGGGTTTGTAATTTTTTTTTCATCTTGTTTTGTAAATGGTCGAAATAATTTTTAAAAACTTGTATTGGAGCCGGGCGGTGGTGGCGCACGCCTTTAATCCCAGCACTCGGGAGGCAGAGCCAGGCGGATCTCTGTGAGTTCGAGGCCAGCCTGGGCTACCAAGTGAGTTCCAGGAGAGGTGCAAAGCTACACAGAGAAACCTTGTCTCGAAAAACCAAAAAAAAAAAAAAAAAAAAAACTTGTATTGGTATTGGTGTGTGTATGTGTGTGTGTGTGTCTCAAAAGACCAAAGGATGGGGATATAGCTCAGTAGTATGAAGCTTGCCTACCATGCACAAGGCCCTGGATTCAACCACAGAAAATAATAAATAAACGTTGACTATTTAGTAACAAAGAATAACATATCCAATACCATAACAGAATTGACAAAGATGAGCCCCAGTATATTTTAAAGGTGTGTCTTCAATTTATTTTTATCTGATAATACACAAAGTACATCTGAATTATTAAGTTAATGTCTATGAGATGACTAACATATCCAAGAAATTTGAAAGCCATAGTTATCCTTCAACATTAGTGAGTCATTTTGACAAACAAATTGTTTTTTTTATCCCTTAAGTCGTTTAAAAGTATGTTACTTGAAGATACTTAACTTGGCAAAATATGTATTTTTTAAACATAGCAACTATTTGGCAACTACATTATAGACTACATAGTAATAGTCAAGCAAATAATAATTTCAAAAACTTAGAAATAATACCAGATATTTAGAAAGTTTAATACTCCTAAATAAATAACTCATTTCCACTTCTGAACTTGAACTATTTTCAGAGGTTTATTGTATATAGAAACCCTGATTTCAGATGCTTATGAAAATCCAAGTCTATTATAAAATACTATGTTTACACTTCAATATTAATATATTTTTATTAGTGTGCAGAAGTTCATTGAGAGGAAATTAATTATTTGATAAAGTATCCTACCATCCTCCATTTATATATATTACTTTTTAGAAAATATATCCTGTAGCCCAAAGGAATCTGGGGCTCAGAAAGGCCTTAGACAGGTTATACAGCTATTAGTGGCAGACCTAGACTCAAGTCAAATCACACTATGGCTTTCATTATGCATCTAAAAGATAAGCTAAAACTACACACCCAATGTCTTTGGGTAAATGAAATAAAAGAATGGACAAATGGATACAACCCCAAACAAAAAGTTTAGCTTAAAACCCTTAATATATGCATGAAATTTGTGGTTTTATTACCCTACCCCAAAATAATAAAGAACATATTCTCTATTAAAACTATACAGAATTACTAAATCCCCCCTTCCAATTCAACAAATTCTGAGTGAGGCAAAGCTAACTTAATTATAAATAATTTTTATTGTTGGCTATCTCAGACCAGTGTTCAGCTCCTCAAATGCCTGATCACTTTTACTTAATTCTTCCTTCAATATCAACTTAAAGTCAAGAAATGTCCCTGAGTCCCATACAGAGAGCACACATCTGTTGTGTATCTGGCAAGCTGTCCACTTTTCTATTCCAGACCTAATCACCTTGTTCACAGTAATCTACTTCTTTGTACATTCTACTGTGTTGTGAGATTCTTGAGAAGTATCAGTATATCTTTCTTTAGAATCTGAATGTTCAAATATATTATAGGCATTCAGTACATAATAATAAGTTATTAGCTTGATTATAATTCATATAAGTTTCAAAGGTAATTGAATGGTAATATTGTCAGTACATTACTTAATCCCAGAAACAGAAAAATATGCACTATCTAGAAAGTCATTGTTTCCTTTCAGTGCAGTTTCTGTACTAATATACTTTATATCTAAGTATCCACACCTAACTTTCAAACCACTCTTTTGTCCCCCTTGTTATTGTAATAAATACATTCAGGTAACCCATCAATGATGGTCAGTAAGTATTGCTTGTCAACTTGACAGTATCTAGAATGCTAGGAGACAAGCCTCCAAGGGCACACATGAGGAATGACCCAAAGGTTACCTAAGATGGAAAGACCTACTGCTAAAGTGGGTGGCACTTTCCCTTGACTTGTATCCTGGACTACATAAACAGTAGAGCTAGCTGAGCACCTGCATTCACTGCTTTCTGCTTCCTGACTGCAGACACATGTGACCAGCTCACTCAAGTTCCTGCCACTGTGACTCTATCCACGACAGACCACAGTCCTAAACTGTGAGCCACAATAAACCCTGTCTCCCCTGACTTCTTTGCCAGGGTATTTTATCACAGCCATTGAAAAGAAACTAAGACATCATCTTTACCTTAGACTGCCAAAATAAGAAAAATATAGGTAGGAAGAAAATTTTAAATACAGTGAGGTAGAAAACTAAATTCCCAGCTGGGCGTGATGGCATACACCTTTAATCTCAGCACTGAGGAGTCAGAGGCAGGGGGATCTCTGTGAATTCAAGGCCAGCCTAGTCTACAAAGTTAGTTCCAGGACAACCAAGGTTACACTGAGGAACCTTGTCCTGAAAAACCAACCAACCAAATAAACAAATAAAAAACCTAAAAGCTTAAATTTCCAAGTTAAAAGCTTATAGAAGTTAAAACCCACAAAAGCAGATATATGGATTAGTATTTACATGCTATCTAGAACAACTAAATATTTAAAGAGGGACTAAGTACAATTTGAGTATGAATATTTAAGATACTTTATATTCCCTGGATCATGAGAATATTAATACTTAACATGACATAAGCAATGCTAAAACAAAAGATAAAATATGACCCATGGGGCAAGCCCTTAATCTGGTAATAAATGAAGTGTATTGCTTTGAGGTCTAAAAGTCATTTATTTGCAAAAATGAGACTCAGTCAAAATTATGGGCTTTTAATAAAGTTGGTATTATCTACTGTATTACATAACAATCTGTAAACTAGGCATGTGCTTGCAAGAGAAGTGACAAATAAGGCAGTACGGGGAAGAACTGTGAACGTACGAAAGCTGGGTGTCTCTTCCCAACCCTACCCTTAAGGAGTGGGAGCTGAAACCAAGGTCTTACTTTAACATCTAAACTGGCAGGCTCAGCAGGAACACGAGACTCGGAGGCCTTGGGGTTTGCACACCCTCATCCTGCTACACATGGAGGGGACATGGTATGGAGAAGAACACCATCAACCTCAGAGTCTGTCTGAGCCCCGACGGGAGGGGTGGAAGATCACTGACTGTGCTGACCTGTTACACAATACACTGGCTAAAGAGAAAGTGGAAGACAGAACTTTAGGAAGCTAATCTACTGTCTTCTCCGGATGCTGGCTCTCTGAAGAAAAAAAAATACAGTTTAAAAACATAAAAAGAAAAACCTTGTAGATCATACACTTACAATGCATATTGCTGATGTTCAAAATTCTTGTTACTGTTGTATCTGAGAAGAGTTCACATTGTTTCCCAGGCTGGCCTGGAACTCCCTATGTAGTCCAGGCTGGCAATTCCCTGCCTCAGTCTCCCAAGTGCTAGCACTTAGGGACTAGCACTTAATCTGCCACCAAGCCTGGGGAAAAATACTTTTTTCTTATTGAATCACTAATCAAGTAACTGTAGACCCTGGAATCCTGATCTTTATTCTTGAGTCAGTCCTTAGGTGTTCTTAGGACCTCACTATATTCTCTGACATCTATCTTTTAAATCAGATTACAGGTTATTGTTTTGGTTTGGTTTCCCTTGTTTGGTTTGGACAACAGAAATCTTTTTTCCTCACAGTTCTGGGGGCTAGAAGCTCAATCTCAGGGCATGAGCACTTCTGGTTTCTTCTGAGTACACCCTCCGCAGTTTGCAGACAGCCGCTGCTCTCCTTTGTCCTCACAGGCCTTTCCTTGGTGTGTAATCATTCCTTGTGCCCTTTTATACATATATACATTTCGTCTCATCCTAAGGATGCTGGCAAGAGTTGATTAGGGCCCATGCTAATGATATCATTTAACAAAATCATCTTTTAAGTATCGCCAAATACAGTCAGTCTAAAGTACTTGAAATTAAAGCATCACTCTATTGGAGGGGATGGTCTAGTAAATACTATTTGGTAATGGCAATAAAAATGTAATTTGTATTATGATACTTTTATTTCTTTAAATCGCTAACCCGTTGAAAGATACAAGACATTTCCTAGCAAATACACAAATATTTTCAAGAGGTTTGTAGGTCTTCTAAGTCAATCCAGACCCTAAGAGCTTTGGTCTTTACAGGTTAGAAATTCCCAATCTAGAATTTCTAAGAAGGCAAATAGGAAGAAAGGGAAAAGAAGTGTTCTCTAGTAACTACAACAAAGAGAACAAAGTATGTGGGACTATTTAGCTCTAAAATATTTAGATCAGCTAGTTAGCCTCAAATTTAAAGCATGAAAGCAAGTCAGGATACAGTGCAAGTGTCTATGGATCCATACTCCTGAAGAATGCGTTACAGGAAGGCTGACTGCTACTCAGAATAAGGAAGAAAAGAATCTGTATACTCATCTTGGGATACAGATCTTTGTATTAAAGGAAAAAGGATGAATTACAGAAACTTGATCACCCCAACATTTCTAAGATTCATTTAGGACCTAGCAGATCTCAACCTGTGGGGTCACAGATCAGACACCCTGCATATCAGATAGTTATATTACAATTCATAACAGTAGCAAAATTACAGTTATGAAGTAGCAATGAAATAATTTTATGGCTGGGGGTCACCACAACATGAGGACTGGATTAAAGAGTCACAGCATTAGGAAGGTTGGGAACCACTGATTTAGCTTCCTGTTAATAGAATGGTTCAAGAATTATCATTAGGTACTAGAGACGAGGAAGTAAACACAACAAAAACTTCCTTCTCACGCATGATAGTTCATCTGTCAACTTGACACAATTTAGACTCACAAGGAAGAGTTTCAACCCGGGACTACTGGATCAAGCTGGCCTGTAGACATGTCTGTGATTGTCTAGATTGCCTGAACTGATGTGGGAAGACCGGGGTGAAAGTGTGTGGTGCCGTCTGTCCCCTGGTTTGGAGCCCTGAGCTACAAAGAGAAGCCGAGGTAGTTGAGCCTAAGCATGGACGGGCGCACACATCTCTCGGCTCTTGACTGTGGAGCTGACAGGACCAGCTCTTGTCACTGTGACTTTCTTACAATGGTGAACTATAAACTGGAATGTGAGCTAAAATAAACCCCTTTTCCTCGTTTTTGTTTTTGTCAGGGTATTTAACCACAGAAACAACGATGAAACAAGAACATCATCATTGTACACTTAGTTGTCAAAAAGAACAGAGTCGCTAACCTGAGTAAAGGTATTTTGATGAACAGCAAACATTCTACATTCTCACTTCTTGGGGAAGACAAATGTCTCTCTCTACTTTACACAGACTAGGTAGCCCCAAATTCCTAGGCTCAAGAGAGCCTATCATTTCACATTTTAGCCTCTTGGGTACAGATCCTCTGGCTCCAATATACTTTGTTTTTAAAATATTTTTACTTTTTCAAGATCTATTTATTTTTATGAATATGAGTGTCTGGCCTGCATGTATGTATGTGCACCTCATGTGAGGTCAGAAAAGGGCATCAGAACCCCTGGGACAAGAGTTATGATGGTTATGAGCCATCATATGGATACTGGAAACTGATCCCAGATCCTCTGCGAGAGCAACAGTTGCTTTTAACCACCAAGCCATCGCACTAGCCCCTCCATGATACTTTCAAAAACAATTTTTATCTCCTTGGGAATATGCTAGTTAAAAAATACCATTTTCAAGGGATTAACACACAGTTCCTTTAACATCAAACACTGAGCAATTCAGGATTTTTTTTTCACCTTCAAAATAAAGATACTGTTTTTCATCATTATCAACACAGAACTGGAGTTGTTGGGGGAAAACTAGACATAGGGGTCTTCAACTAACTTCATCCTTCACTGACAAATTTGAAATTCCCCACTTAAATGCCACATGGCTTTACCAAAATGATGGGGAATGGGGATTAATGAAACCGAATTGAGTAAGAAATTAGAAAAGGAACGTTTACAATTGCTACATTCAAATTTAATAGACATTCATATTCAAAAGTAACCCAAAGACTTTCTACCAAGCCACAAACTTCTAAATTAAGCTGTTCTTTACTCAGTATCTAATATTTACAAATAATTAATTTTATTACATAATATTTAGATATGTCTATTTGCACATTTCTTTATATACACATCTTTATATCTTATACTTATGACAGATAAAAACATAAAGCAAATCAAATAAAACCTTCCAAAGGTGAGGTCGAACGTGCAAATGAAGTCTAGAGGAGTCACTGGTCTATACAACTGAACTGTATCAAAAGTCTATGCTCTCTCTCCAAAGCATCTTCATCTGAGTTCTGGAACTGCCTACCTTACTTGAGTGCCCCCTTATACAACGAGGACATAAAGAAAATGACAAATTATACAGAGAAAATTTTCTAAAACAGTTTGAGAAAAACTTTTCTCATGTTGAAATAAATACCTGAGAACTACCTATTTCCACACATTTAAAGCTGAATTTGTCTTATGAAGATTCATTGGCTAGACTGGAAAACACCTGATGTATTTTAAGCTTGGGTAAGTTTCCAAAGAAAATACTCACTCTATGTTTTTATGTGCAGAGATCTGTCATGCGTGTGTGTTCGTACATACCTCAGTTAATAATTCGAAGCATCAAACAGAAGTAGCTTCAAGGAAACAGGAAGGCATGGTGAGTTTAGGTGTGGTCTACTCAGATTTCAATTACCTGTGTTTACTTCTTCTGCAATTTCCAAGTCCTCTATTTGAATCTCACGATCTAACATCTCTGAAAAATGGTCTCTGATTTCTTCAGCTGACTCATCACCAAATTTATAATCACATAACATTACAGCAGATCCAGGAAGGGGAACAAAAACTCGCTGAGGAAGTTCATAATCTAAAAAGAATATTACATTATCAATATTTAGATATATCTGTCATTGGTGTCAACAAATATTTACTTCAAAAAATATAAAAACGTCTGTTTGAAATGATAATGATTTTGAGCTTTCTAGTTGACAAAACTGCTTTGAGTTCTTTCTTTTCTCAATTTCCCTAGCTTCTTCAAAGGGACGTGGATAACATACCTATGAAACATATATCCCTCCTTACCTTTAATATAAAGATGTTGCTAATCACATGCCCATATATGACCCACTGTGGCCTATGATGGAACACCCAGTCAATTTTGTAACTCCCCTATAGACTGCTGCCTTTCTTGTTTGTTTTAATCTTTTAAGTATTGTGAATTTTATTGCTAACTTATTCTTCATTTATGCATGTTTGAAGTCAATGTAAGGGCCTTCCCTGTCTTTGTCTCCCCAGCACTGGGATTAGAAGTCTATGTCATAACATCTGGCTTTGTTCTCAGGATTCATGGGTTCTAGGGACTGAACTCAGATCCTCGTGCTTGGGAGCAAACATGTTTACACACTGAGCCATCTCCCCAAACCACCATGTTTCACATTTCTTTGGATACCTGCAAATTAGACTGTACGTCCCTAATTTTAAAAATTACTAACTACATAAAATGTAACTGCTGGTTAGCTCAAAATGTGGCTCTCACAAACTAACACAGAAGTAGACATTTTCGTAAATAATAACCACTTTGTGTCAGGTATGATTAAAAAGCTATCAACATAAAGATCAAGCAGAAGAAAACTGGGATCATTCTATTAGCAATCTACACTTCCTCTTCTAAAGAGATGCTAAAGTATTCCTAAGTGTCACAGGGAATGCAGTGACAGAAACCACAAGATTCCTCCACTTGCAGTGTGTGATCTCATCCGTGCAGCACTGGAAGAATAGGCTTACTCTTTGACCACACTGCCTCCTACTGTTAGAATTACATAACTGCAGTTTGTACCAGAGCATGCAAAATGAGGATGATGGTATATAGTGAACCAATATACTTGAATATTAAGTTAAAATTAGAAGATGGTTATAATACGCATGGATAATTGATGTACAAAATCTTAAGCACATTTCAAATTTGGATTCTAAGTTTCCCTGAAGAAAGGATAGGTTATAAAAACTGAATGCCAAAGATTAGTTGCACTGCATTTAATTACTTATTAAAAAAGAAAAACAAAACACTTAGAATCAGAAATTCACCCACCAGCAGAATAGTCGGAATGGAGACACAAAAGTGTAGTCTCAAAAGTATACTTAATATAATTTTCTGAGTACAAAATTATTTTAATACAAATTACCAAGATGTAAAACATAAACTGCTTATGTTTCCCCAAAGATGGAATTCAACCTTTCTTGAACCTAATCAAGTCTGTTAGAGAAACAGCTAAGAAATATAAAACATAACAGTGTATAAATAGTAACTGAAAAAATCTACTATGCACCTCTAAGTTAATGTTTGAGTACACCTAAGGTATCTTAAAGCCTACAACATCAACAAGTCTTACATGTAAACTGCTGACCCTATTTCCTCTGGCAAAACTAGTTCATCAGAGGCAATTGTTTTAACATCCTCCCTGAGAGGGGGGGGAAATGCAGCTATAAGAGTAAGGAGGTGCCGGGCGGTGGTGGCGCACGCCTTTAATCCCAGCACTCGGGAGGCAGAGCCAGGTGGATCTCTGTGAGTTCGAGGCCAGCCTGGGCTACCAAGCGAGTCCCAGGAAAGGCGCAAAGCTACACAGAGAAACCCTGTCTCGAAAAACGAAAAAAAAAAAAAAAAGAGTAAGGAGGTAATGGAACAGAGAGTGTTAAAGGGGGCAGGAATGGAAGGGAAGGGTAGAGGGGGATACAGGAAGGGAACTAATATGGCAGACATCCTATGAAAACCCACCACTGCAGAAGCTTCCGGAAGTATTTACATGCACATATATAAAAGTTTATGTAGAGTTTGAGCAACAATGCCTCTACAACATCACAAGTTAACCAATAAAAAGTCCGGTGCTGGGAATGGGTTACTTCTTTTGGAGTTATTGGCCAGGAAGATCCCATAAATCCCCAAGTGGTATAGCTAATGCCAATGTTCTTGTTTGCTCACCATGAACTCACTGTCAAGCCCTACTGCTGAGTGCTAAAACATGAAGGAATCAAGCAGGTACTCCTCCGAAAGCCTCATCCCTACTGGCCAGCTTTCACAGTACTAGAAGGTGCTTTGTATGCTGCTAGATGGGAAAAAAAAAAATCAATCTTAGCCTGCTACAGGGACAATGGGCCTGGTAAGATATGTCTACTAGTGCATGAATGACATGCAGGAGACAACCAGTTTCTGAATGGACTTAAAGCCTGCTCCACAATTTGAAACTCACACCTGGCATGGTTGTCAGGGCCAAGAAGCTCCAGCTGGCTAGGTCACAGGTCCTAGAGGCGAGACTATTATGCTGCTAAATGGGCATCACATTAAACCAAATACTAATGTCTTATTATCTTATTATTATACCCATAGATTAGTGTATCTCTCAACCCTCATCAAAGAAGTCTCTTTTGCAGTAAATGGCAATTAATCAGTCATTGTGCAGAGAATGAGAGACTGCAGAATGAATGCTCAGCCCTAAATGGGGCATCTATATCACACACACCCCTGCCCAAGGCTCTGGAATTATTGCAGAAGAGGGGCAGAGAGACTGTACAAGCCAGAGGTGGTGGATGACTATAAAGAAACAGTGCTTTCCAGACATAGTAGGGCAGTTGCACAGATGAACACAGAGCAAACTGACGGCAGGCACAAGATTTGCACAAACTCAAGCCGGACAAAATCCCAGCACAGAGAGGGGAAGTGAGCACCAAGGCCCACCCTTCGCTAAGGGGCTATTGCAACTGAAAGCTGCTGAAAGGAGAGCCGGTCTTCTTGAAGGTGTGGCCCCTAGTAGATTAAGCACGCTCCAGTGGAAGGCAACATGCCTGGTGTGTTTTAAACAAACAAACAAATTTGGGTAGTAAGATATGGGAGGAGATGATGGAGAGAGTGAATATAATCAAAATACATCATACAAAATTCTCACAGAACTAATTTTAAAAATGAGGAAAAAAGGTGCAAATCATTAAAAAAAAATCTTCCTTGGAACAGCTAAACATCAACAGCTTTGCTAATAGAAAATGTTCAAAACATTTCACAATGGTGGAGGAGGGAGCATCTGAAAAGGTTTTATTCAGCAATAAAAGTAAAAGACAACTTACTACTATAAAAAATATAGTAGTAAGTATAGAAGATGGCATACATGTTAAATCTTGAAACCTTACTGTATGTAACAGAACAAACACAAAAAAGTACTTAATTTATAGTCATACTTTTTTTTTCTGGAATTTCATTCAAAAGCAGGTCCTCAAATAGTATTTCACAGCGATCAGCAACTGTGTTCAAAATATCTCTCTTCACTGCCTATGGGACAAAACACAGTAAGAAATAAAATACTTCAAAGTTGAATTATTTCATTACAAAAAAAAAAAACTCACCAGAATTTGCGTTCCGGGGTAAGAATGTCCACTCAATAACTGATATATCACTCCACTTGTAATTCTCATATACTCAGCATACCTACTATTACTATTTTTAACACAATTGTAGCTTAACGATAAATCCATGTAGCCCACATTTAAATAGTAAATTAAAGCCAAATAAAGAATTCAAGTTTGCATCTAAAAAAATATTGGAAAATATTCTAAATTAGGAAATGTATTACAATATAAATGCTGGTGATCATTTTTCAAATTTTTGGACTCTGAAACATTACCTAACAGTTCTTCCTGTGAATATTTCTGTTAAGAAATTAAGTTCCCCTCAAAAGAATTTATTTCAAAGGTACTGATATATTACAAGGTTGGAATACTTATTAAATCCATATACAGTCTACACATAAAATTTTTGAAACCGATTGGAACTTTATTAATTAAAACCAAATTAATAATCATAAAAGTAAGATTAAAAATAAACTTCTAGGATATTTTAATGTTAAGCTGTTTCCATTTTCTTCACGTCAGTTACTCCTTCTATACCTGCACAGCATCTTTAACCTTGGGTCTGTTGCTGTGGATATAAGCTCTGCATTTCACATCACCCCGCAGGTTTACAGAACCACTGCAGATTTGGACTGTGGCTGTGGATCTGTGGTCTGAATTCAGGAGCTAAAAGACAAAATTTTAATCCATATTAGTCCTAATAGTCCTAACATTATTAAGTGTAGAAAATATTTAACCATTAAGTAGCCATTTTATAGAAAAGGAAGGATTTTTTGCATAAGTACTTGAAAATATTCTCCATAAATTATTAAGTTCTTCATATGTCTCTTTATAAGTTACATTCTTAATATATAGAGAAAACCAACTACATCTTAACGTTTTCTCACTAACATGTTATTTAAAACACTAATACTTAGTATATCCTGTAAAAATATATTATTTGTAGATTCCTCAGAAAAGTATTATAAAAAGAAGCAGAAAGAAGACATGCTACAGTAGGAGATACAATGCACGGAACACAGGAAAACCACCAAAGTATACAAATTAGGACACCATAAATATAGTCGAATTCTAACCAACGCCTAGACACACATTTATTGCTGTGTTTTCAATACATCAAACTTTCATATGCTAAAAGCAACCCTATGCTTTCCTCAGGTAAGGTCCTAACATCAGCTAGAGCTGTCACCAGAAAATGCTGTTAACAGTTTCAAAGGGATGACATGGTTGTTTTCACTTCATGGCCCATCGTCTCCAGTCTAAGCAGTACTCAATACCTCTTGTTTTTCAGATGCTCCAGACATTTAAATGTTTATTATTATTTTATGCAAATAAATGTTTTGCCTTGCTCATATGCCTGTGACCATGTGTGTGCAGTACAGAGGAAGCTGGAGGTGGGTATCGGGTCCTCAGCAACTGGCATTATAGATGGATGGCTGTGAGCTGCCAGTGGATGTGGGAAGTAAACCTGGGTCTTCTGCAAGAACATCAAGTGCCATCAACCCACCCATTCAGACAGTTTAAGTCTGATTGTCTTAAGTGCCCAACAAGGATGACATGGTAACACTGAAAATACTTCTGAAGGCCTATGATCAGGACAGAAAGAAAAACATCCCAATTAAAACAAAACAAAGCATCAGTCCGTCAGTTGTAGTCTCTGAATTCAAATGTCTACCAGCCCTGCTATATCTGGGAAATGCTGTTTCCTTGCGTCATCCACCACCTCTGGCTCTTACAATCCAGCACTCGGGAGGCAGAGCCAGACGATCTCTGTGAGTTCGAGGCCAGCCTGGTCTACAGAGCGAGATCCAAGACAGGCACCAAAACTACACAGAGAAACCCTGTCTTGAAAAAACAAAACAAAACAAAACAAACAAAAAAAGAACCTAATGTGCTCACAAGAGAAGGAACCTTTTGGTACTGACAAAAAGTTTGGAAAAAGAAGCCTCTGGTTTTGCTGACCAAATGAAACCCAATGGAAGTACTGGCATTTGGGAGTTAGATTTTTATTTAAAAATTATTTTTTATTCTTTGAACATTCCATACATTAAACAGTGATATTAATCATACCCACCTATCATGACCTCCTTCTAAGTCCCCAAGTGCCTATCTGCCTCCCAACTTCATGTCTTTTTTATACTTCATATTTTATTTTTGTTATTAATAAATTGTGGCTAAATCTTGATGTATAGGTGGGGTTCTGACTATGAGCAGCAGGATACAGGTGGCATGGGCAAGACAAGTGGTTCAGGACACACACAGAATTTAAAGACAGCACAGCAGACATCTAAAATAAGTCAGAAAACACGAACTGATACTGTAAAGAGTCTTGAACTAGACTTTTTAAGTAGGCAATATCAAGAAGTAAGTCTAAACCAGGTGGTGGTGGCACATGCCTTTAATCCCAGCACTCTGGAGGCAGAGGCAGGAGAATCTCTGAGTTTAAGGCCAGCCGGGTCTACAGAGTAAGTTCCAGGACAGCCAAGGCTACACAGAGAAATCCTGTCTTGGATTCCCAAACCCCCAAAAGTAAGTGTAACTAGTAAAGGGTTATGTATGTAGAAGAACAGCATGCCTTGAAATAAAAGACACTTCTAAAATCCAAAGTCAAGTAGAAAATTTACAAGACAAAAAAAGTACTGTTAAGTACTGTGAAAAAAACACTAGAAACTAGATGGAGAAGCTTAAGTCCAATGCCAACTTAGCAATGTCTTATAGTTAAACACAGAGACAGATGGCAAAGTATTCTTATGAACCAAATTATCTCCACTTTCTCAATTTAGTTAAAAAACTGAAAGTTCTGGTAGTGTTTCAGGGTTTCAAACTCTAGAATAATACTGGAATGAAATTTCTTATACTTCTTATAATCATGGTCTGTTCTTCAGAATAGCATGAGGCAGTATTAAAATGAACAACATTTAGAAGTAATTAGTAGTTTTAATTTAAGTGGTTTTTATTTAATTTAGTTTCTTCAATATACCCAATTTCTTAAAAAAAAATCTGAATTTCCATATAGATGTATAATTTTAAAATATCATACAGAAAAAAAATGAAACTTGCTAATTAATACTTTGGAGATTTTTTTTAGATTTATTTTATTTCATGTGTATGAGTGTTTTGCCTACATGTATGTGTGTACTATATATGTGTCTAGTGCACATGGAGGTCAGAAGAGGGCACTGGATTCCCTGGAACTGGAGTTATGGACAGTTGTGAGCCACCATGTGGGTGCTGGGAATCAAACCCATAATCTTGGCAAGAACAACAAATGCTCTGAAATGCTGAACCATTGCTCCAGTTCCCCTTTAGAGTTTTTATCAAATTAGAGTATAAGATGGAATATATACCTCAAATTAAATATATGACAACTCTCCATCTATCAACATATATCTTCTTTTAAAAGTTTCTAAGAATTCCAACTTTAATAATCAAATCAACAGCTCAAAGTATTTAGATACATATGTACATATGCTTTTAAAATCGTTATTTACATGTTAACACTTTAATAGCCTTGAGACAAAAAGGCTCAAAATGGTTTAATCAGAGCAATGCTTCTTGGGAATAATTTTCTTATAACTGGATGTCTTAGATAGTTTCATATCTTGTTACATTTTTTAATTAATTCAATTATATTCCTAATTTTTCATTATGTTAGGTGAAATAATTTATTTTAAATAAGTGTATTTAAAAATATTTACCAACTGTGTTAGCACTCGGACATCAAAAGAATGAGCAGTTGCTTGAGTATTTCCTCTAGATTTTTTCTAAAAATACAAAAGCCAGACTGTTAAGGTTGTATGTGAAAATTAAAAGACAATTTAAGAACTATTTTACATTTTCTAAATAACAAGGATAAAATGCAATCTTAATTAATTTTGCTTTTGTACAGACACACTGCATTATATACTTTACATCAACCATTAATAATCTCTTAAAATTATTCCCTACTCTAATTCCTTTAGATTTGAGATTAGTAAATTATTTTCTGTAGGTCAAAATCACATTGCCACCTTTTTGTGTAAATAAGTATTTCCTGGAACAGTCAAGTTCGTTCATTTGTATTATCTACTGTCTATGGTTACTTTAATGGGACAACAGGAGAGATGAATAGTTGAACATGAACCAACATGTCTTCTAAAACCTAAAGCATTTACTATTTGGCTTTTTCCAGTTTGCAGACCCCTGCTTCTCACCTACGCTCCTCCTCATCTAGGTCAAGGTATTTGAGACCCCTATGCAGGCTTCCACATGGAGCTACAGATAGCAGCACACAAGACAGCCAGTTTTGAAGAAGCTTTCACAATGTGGAGATTAGATAGGCTTTAGATGCAGATGACATTCCTAATCCCAGGATTCGGTATCTCAATTACACCAGAAACAGCCTCTTCCTATCACTTCCTGAGAAAAACATTTGCCCTTTACTTTATAAGACCCAGGATGATATCGCTCACGTTCAGTCCCCCCACTCGGGAGACAGAGGCAGCAGATCTTTGTGAGTTCTAGTACAGTCAGGGCTACATAGAAACCCTACATCAAAATAAATAAATAAAGGTCCTAGAAATGAGTAAATAAAGCTTGCTTTAATGAAGACAACAACTAAAGATAAGTGCATTTTTCCTTAAAAACTTATTTCCTAAATAAGACGATTTTCTCTTAACTCACCTGTCCTTCTAATAGGTCACAATCTTCACCTTTAACCTGTCCGTTAATCAAATAAACACCATTGTCTATTTGCTTGGCCCAGCGTGTAAGTCCACTCTTAAAAACAAGATGAAATCTGTCAGATGTAAAGTTATCTTAATCAAGCCTCCTCTTCTGTTATTCTCCACCTACTACACTGAAATCTTGAAAACGTCCAAGTGTCAATAACAGTGTTTAAATCCAGTACCACAAATTTAAAAGTCCTAATCTTTTAGCTCCTTATCCATATTAAATAAGTTTTTTGATCTTTTCCTAAAATTTATATCACAAACTCCAAGATCTTATTAACTACACAAGCATAGAAATAAATTCCAATGGTGTCTATTATCTTTTAAAAAGTAGAAAAATGAGGGCCGGGCGGTGGTGGCGCACGCCTTTAATCCCAGCACTCAGGAGGCAGAGGCAGGCGGATCTCTGTGAGTTCGAGGCCAGCCTGGTCTCCAAAGCGAGTTCCAGGAAAGGCGCAAAGCTACACAGAGAAACCCTGTCTTGAAAAATCAAAAAATAAAAAATAAATAAAAATTTAAAAAAAGTATAATAATGAGCCTTGAGTAGCATAAGGCAGTATAAAAGAAGAAAAATTAAACAGAAACAAAAAATGATGAAATACAAAGGAATAGAAAAAAGAAAAGCAAAACTAATTAGGATCAAGAGAAGGCCATCAGTAAATCTATGGACATAATTAAACTCTACATATGTTAACTAATAAATATTTATTAAGTACCTGCTTTGATAAATATATATTATGACATTATTCATGCTAAAAAAATTCCTAATCCAGCTACAGTAACAAGTTCATTATACATATAACAATCATTTTAATAAAGTACAAGTTTTGAGGATTATAAATGTCACAACCAGATTAACAGCAGAGAACCCACTCAGTAATCAATGAAGAAAACGTATTTTACTTGTTGATACCTTTGTATTTTTTTCCAGAGTATAACTGACAGAAGTAGCCGATAGTGGGATGTGAATATTAACGTGAATGGTACACTCTAGAGACAGCCATGAGGTAGACACTCTGTTTTGATACTTCCAATCTGCAGGTCTTGAAGAACTCTTTAGCGGGAAGGTGGAAAAACAAAACATGATATGGCTTAGGTAACATATATGCAGTAATAAAGTAATATAAGGTATAAAAATCTATGTATAACTTGAACAGGCTGGCATCCTCTAACGTCCTGTCAATTCCCCATTTAAGGGAAACAGACATTATAAAGTGAGCATGCATTAATTTTAGTACTCTTTCGTACACGCTAGACAATCTTTGCAGCCTCCAGGGGGTAGGTAGAAAAAGGGTCAGAAAGCTCTGTTGAGAAGTCTAAAAGGTGCCCTAGACATCAGCCTTCACCTGTGGCCTCTCCAGTCCACTCCAAAGGCTCTGCGTGCAGCAAATGCTCACCGAGCCGCCCCTCACCGTGGCTGTGCTCGCCCTGCTCCCTACACTGCTGAGTATTCTTATTGCTTTCAGGCAAGTGCTGGTCTGGCTTCTGTGCCAAACGGGGAACCATTTGACTAGGCACTGAAGCAACACAAAATTCTTAGTCACTTTTACCGTTATCAGCTTCTCAAATGTAAACCAGGAGATTAACAACAACCATAACAATAACAACAACAAAAAACACACAAAAACTACAGGTGGTCATATGCATCAAAAAGAAGTGATGACACTGAAAATTATTAAAATTAAATATTAATAAAGATGAATTTTGACTATTAAAAGTAGCTTGTAAAACAGAAAAATCTTTAAAGAGTGGTTTTTCTTACCTTTGGATCACGAACATCATAAGTTCGACAAGATAATCTTTACTAATTAAGGTCATAAATGACTCCGAAAGAATTCTTGATAATAAAATATGATCCAAAAACTAAAAATGGTACATATAAGTGCTTAAAAATTATACTTCAGATACTTAAAAGACATATACAGATATATAGCTATGCATTGATATAAGTGTTCGAATGTTTAGGTATTATGTTTAGGTATTAGGATATTATTTGTGTATATGATTGCTGACTACAGCACTCCTGGTGTTTAAAAAAGCAAACAAAACACAAATTTCCTTCTGTTTGTAAATATTGCTAATCATAATAAATGGAAAGGAAGCACCTGTGAGTTCCTGTTCAAACATCGTCTGCACAGCATAAACAGTGCTGTTTCGGATGGGATCAAGCTCAGGAACATTTACTGGGCTGTGACACTTTCCAGGCAAGTATCACATCTTCTACAGGAAAAGTCTCTTTTTGAATTTTGTCCTCATTTAGTGGGTCCTTGGATTGTGTCTCCTCTTTAGTGACTGTCTATTCTGGGGAATTATAGAGGAAAGAGTCTAAGGGAGCCATGTAACCATGGCGAAGGTATAAGAATTCCTACACTGTCCAGCTCAATTATAGGTGCTTCGAATTGCACATTTTTTTTTTTTTTTTTTTTTTTTTTTTTTTTTTTTTGGTTTTTCGAGACAGGGTTTCTCTGCGTAGCTTTGCGCCTTTCCTGGATCTCGCGCTGTAGACCAGGCTGGCCTCGAACTCACAGAGATCCGCCTGCCTCTGCCTCCCGAGTGCTGGGATTAAAGGCGTGCGCCACCACCGCCCGGCTTCGAATTGCACATTTTAACTTTAAGAAATGAAGATGAAAATTATATTAACACAGCAAAAACATTATATGCTTAAGCTTATCTCTGAAAGAACCTACAGTGCAAACATATACATGGTTAGAGAGCTGGCAAAGAATGCAGAATCCTAAGTCCTTTCTCTCTACCAAACTCAGCACATAACCAGTAGCCATTATCATTATTAATATGATTATTGGCATCCCTAATCATAACAATGTGTTCTTTAAAGACAAACTTAATAGCCTTTTTTCAAAAGGATGATTTAAACAAATGTTGAAGGAAAGAACTGTGGGATTGTGATTTGCACAGCATATGATTTGGGGAGGAGAGAGGAAAAGCAGATTCAGTGTGGCGTACGCTGATTTGGGGAGGAGAGAGAGGAAAAGTAGGTTCAGTGCGGCGTACGCAGTGGGTGGTGCGGGCTAGTCAGCAACACTAGTCCTGTAGCCAGAACCACAGACATTAACCATAAACACCTAATTAAAAGATACTTTTTTGTAGAAGAACAAATGTGAAGTATCACTCGTTCTGAGACCTCTTCCTCTGAGACACTCCATAGTCTTTTTCTATTCATAGATTTTTCCACAGAAAATATTAGCTGAAAGACAGAAAAATATACATGAATTCATCACATAATGAGAAATGTTGGAAAAGGCAATGATAATTCCCAATCTTCAGAATTTCATGAACTATATCATCATATAACCATTTGTGATTTCATAAAAGAATCCACATAAAAATTGAGTTTTAAGTAAAAAACATAATTCCTCATAATTAATAATTAACTGGACATGATACATTAATTTTGGGCAACTAGCATTCATATAAAATATAGAATACAAACTTTGTTTTTGTTATAAAGGAAAGTAGTAAGTGATTATTTTAACTACAAAAATAAAACATGTTGCATAGTTAGCATTTCTTATTTAAATTTCACAAAACATGAAAGCAGCAAAAAATTAGGAGAAAAAAATCAGAATAGTGACCTAAATTTGTGTCAGAAATACTATCTATAAAACATGGACTTAGAATGAAGATAGAGGGTGATGAATGTGGCTCTAAGCTTTGTTACAACAATGTGTAGAGTGGTCTAATTTGTCATCTCATTCTTATGATCTATAAGCTGAAAACAACTTACCAGAAGACACATGCCTTTCCTGATAATATCGAAAGAAATTGCTCCACAAAACACAGTATTATATAATGACCAAAAGTATTGACAATAACAACACATTTTATAAAGTTATTCATTAAAGTATCTATGTTGATATTTTGTTTGTGCTCTAACAAATAAAGCTAGCCTGGAGATCAGAGGGCAGAGCTAGCCACTAGAGGCTAGGCCGTGGTGGCACACACCACTAATCCCAGCACTAGGGAGGTGGAAACAGGAAGGGATATGGCTGGGTGGAGAGAGGAATATGAGGCAGGAGGAGACAGGAGCTCACTCCCTTTCCGGCTGAGGAGCTGGCGAGGGAAGAGGTGGCTGTGGCTTGCTCCTTTGTCTCTCTGATCTTTCAGCATTTACCCCAATATCTGGATCTGGGTTTTTATTATTAAGACCAATTAGGATTCGCACTACATTAGTGAAAAAGGCAATAAATTTAAGTAAATCTTAAAATGGAAGAGTGCAAAAGACTGAAAACCATGCCGGGGAGGGTCTATAGCCTTTCTTCCTGGGCACAAAGTATCAAAGTCATGGGTGAAGTATCAGCAGCAGAGGATACAAAAGTGGAGGTAGCTACAGCATCTACAGATTGCTTTTTTTAAAATTGCCCCCAGCTACCAGCTTTGTGCTTCTGAATGGTATAAAGTCCCTCTTGCTCACACGGTGAGATACGCTTGTGAATGTACATGTGGAAATTGAGTATGCAAAGATAGGAAAGTTTCCTGAAGACTACTTTAGGTTTGAGTTTAAGAGAAAACAGCTTAGGACTTTTCCATTTACTTTTGAACTGATTACACTACCTGGTTTTCTGATGTAGTAGCAAAACAAAACAAAACAAAACAAAAAACAAACAAACAACAAAAAAAAAGAGATGCAGGATATGCACCCTCTCCAGGAGTGAAGAGTAAGTACGTGATTATTGTTTATATGTTAATCTCATAACTTCAAAAGATGTGACAAGCATAACTTGATATTACTACAATCACTTCCTAATAAGTGGAGGGTCTATGAGAAAACTGCTACTGCACAAGAAAAACAGACGATTATGACTGCTTATATAACATCACGATACCATCTTGTGAAGAGTTGTTTTAAGGGTCAGTAAGATGGCCCAGTACGTAAAGGCATTGGCGTGGAAGCCTCACAACCTGACTTCAAGCCCTGGGATTTATGAAAAGATGGAAGGAGAGAACTGAGTCTACAAAGTTGTCATTGTCCTCTCACCTCCACAAGTTCACCGTGGTGGCTGCATGACCCCCCCCCAATCATATATATGTCTTTAATAAACAAACCTTTAAAAGTATTTTAAAATATGTCGCTTTGACTGAAAAAATATTTAGATTTATTACACACAAGATCTGCAAGCAAATGGATAGAAAAGGCTATTTCAACATAATTCTAGCATAAAGAATTATGGAACACTAATATATGTATGCTTAAAATAATATGTAACTTTGATTTCATTAAGAGTTTATGCTGCTTCGGACTTACTCTGCGCAGGGCATTTTGAAAATCATCTGCTAGTTCTAAAGTTGTAATAATAAATATTCCAAGAACCACAAGTCCTCCAGGGAGCATTCTGGACACCTAAAGATAAAAATACAGTATTAGCTATCATAAGCATGTCAATCTTTCTATTTGATGCAGTAAACACTAAATCAGCAAACACCTATCCAGGACCAACTATACACATAGAATCCAGGTAGAGACAGTTGAAAAACTGGAGTGTAACTATATATAAATATATATATATATATATCCCTTCTCAGAGCACCCTCAACTTTGTATCTTAAAATCACTTTAGTAACTTGTTTAGGTACCTCAGTATACAGACCCTTTTCTCCTAAGATTTGTAAAGTGAATTTTTTTCAATGGTCTTCCAACTATCTGCAAAATAAATATTTTACCTTAGACTGCCATTTTAATCTCTCCAGAATCTGGCCAATCTGATGTTCAGAGACATAGCTGATCTACTTTCTCTGAAATAGTCAAGCATGGTCAAAACTACTCCCTGTTCATCACACACTGCCCTAGGCTGTCTAATTCTATGCCTTTCCTCAGGCTCCTTCCTCAGCCTAAACTGACTGCTCGGACACTGGCATCAGTGAGCTAACTTCAAAGTCAACTTGAGGGAGCTATTTTCTCTTGCACATTGATCTCTGAACTTCCAGTTACCCTGGAGAATCAGACAGTCTTGTATGTGTATACACTAATCTGCCCTCTATTATTATTTTCCCTGCACATGATGTGGCTAGTTTGAAAACTACATGTGTTTTTCTCTCCTAGCCAATTTCAGTGACAAGGGTACTTTTGCTAGCTTTCATAGACTTATAGTATAAGCAAACGATCACCAAGTTAAAATTTTAGAAAATTAGATATTAAAACATAATTTCTACTATATCTGCATTATGCCAGCTCATGGTTCCCTCGGATGTCATAATTTCCATTTAATCATGGGGAACCTTTAAAAGCTTTAAAAATTAAAACAAAGTTAACTCTTTCTAGGGGTAAAAATATTAATTTACTATTACAAATTCATGCATATTCTCTCTGTATGTATTTGTATATAAATTATATAGAACGCATTAAATTTCATAGGGAAGATAGGGCTGCTCGGTAGTTAAAGCACTTGCCACACAAGCAAAAGGATCGGCACTCAAATTCCAAGAACCCATGTAAATGCTGGATGGGCATGGCAGCTGGCCTGTAATTCCATCCCCTGAGAGTGAAGACCAGGGATTCCCTACAGCAAGCTGGCCAGCAAGACAAGCTAGACTCTGCCTCAAAGAGTAAGATGCAGAGTGATTGAGAAAGATTACTGATCTAAGCCTCAAGCCTCCATTTATACACTTGCAAACACACATACACAGCGTGCATGCACAGTACAAAGACATGAAAGAAAGAAAAAAATTATAAGAAAGCAAAAGAAAATTTAGGATAGAAAGTCATTTATATATACCAATAGGAATTAAAGTAAGACCTTCTTTAATAGTCAACAGTAGTAATTCTTGGAACTTTTTTATAATTGCATACTACTCACCCATCACAAATATATGCACATTTATCTATCTTAGAGGTTTTAAGTTGAGAAAGAAATACAATAATTCTTTTATCTTACTCTAATCATCTTTATTATTTTTTATTCTATACCACAATTCATTCAAGAAATATTTTAAGTGAATTAGCATATTTATTACATTTTTCAGCAACCTCTAAATCCATTTCCTTCTCTCATAACAGTAATATTGTCTTCACAAACATTCAAAGTAAAAATCTCAGCCATCTTTGGCTATTTTCAAAAGAGAAAATAAATCTCTTTATTCTCAATCCACTTGGTCACTAAATTTTCATGATTCTAGCTCTTTCTCTGAAATTATGAATGAAGTTTAAGCCATGCATTATCTAGTATTTTACAAATCACACTATAAACCATGGAAATGCTGTAGGTTCTCAGCCTACAGCCATAAATACAGGAAACAGCTCCTGCCCTCACAAAGCTCAGAATCTAGTTCAGTCTCATACCCTCACTGGTTTGGACTACTGCTTTAGCTACAGTTTCTCTTCTGTCTCCAGGTTCTACTCTCCACTAATACTGTGCCAATATTAATGCTACCTTATACATTATTGGCAAATAAGTCACTTTAACCTCTTTTAAAATACAGGGGTCTAAGGGCTTACCACTGGATTTTTCAATATAATACTTTTATGAGTACTCTGAGGATTTCACACAATATACTTTGATCATATTCATCCCCACTCTCCCCAGATCCAGCCCACTACCCTATGCTTTTCCTTCTAACTTCCATGTCCTTTTTTTTTTTTTTTTTTAATAACCCTGTGAGTCCAAATTGTGCTGCCCATATATCCACAGGTGTGGAGCCATCCAATGGAGCCTGACTGATCTACTGGTGGCCACATACACTTTTTTAAGGCCACATCTTTAAAAAAGGACCATGACTCTCTCTGCCCTTACCACTGGGCTTTTGTTTACCAAGTGTACTTCTTAGAACTGTATTCCAAAGCCACCCATAAACAAGCCTTGTATTTAATTACATTTTCCTACACACTTTGTGTTTCAACTACACCCAATTGCCCAACTGCTTGCTATTTCCCTAGTATTACCTTTGTGTAAGTTAACCACACTGTCCTGCCCTTACTGAATGTGTTCTCTGACTTGCTCCATTAACAAAGTCCTGAGAGTCATTCATGTTCAGAGCCTTCTGTAAAAGTATTTTGAATACAACCATTGGCATGCATTTAAGAAAGAAAACTGTAAAATTCTAGTCTAGTAACCCAGGAAGCATTTTTTCTTTTTTTCTGTTATCAACTAAATACAAACATCTATACGGCGAGACAATTTTACCTGGCTGGCATGTTCTGTGGCCCATTCTTCATCCAAAGTATCCAACTTAGCTTTGGGAGGTTTGAGGTTCTCATTTTGTTCCTCTTTGGGTGGTGTTCTAGTGGCAAGAATCACATAATCCTTTTGTGAAGAACACTTTAAAAACAAATTGTAAAAGCTCATTGCAGTTATATCTGATTGAAGAATTAGCTCTGTCATGCAAAAACTAAACAGTATTTCAGCAATTTAAACTGTTAATACTCATATTATTATATGGAAGCTATACTCAAGAGAACTGATTTTAATAAACAGCCTTGCAATATGTCTCTCATAATGCTGTTTATCTTTAATGTATGTAATAGCAACTTATTATTTACTTGGACATCCTCAATATAAATCAGAGTGGTCTTTAAAACTAATTCTGGAACTGTGGTTCCAGTTGATACAATAATTGCCTAGCATGCAGAAGGCCCCAATATCAATCACCAGTGCCACATAAACCAGGCATGATGGCATACATATGTAATCCAGCACACTCAGGAAATAGAAACAGGAGAACCACAGTTCAAGGTCATCCTGGACTACAAAGAATATGAGGCAGGTCAGGGTTATACAAAATTGTTGAGGCCGGGCGGTGGTGGCTCATGCCTTTAATCCCAGCACTTGGGAGACAGAGGCAAGCGGATCTCTGTGAGTTCAAGGCCAGCCTGGTCTCCAAAGCGAGTTCCAGGAAAGGTGCAAAGCTACACAGAGAAACCCTGTCTCGAAAACAAACAAACAAACAAAAAAATTGTTGAACAAAATTTTTGTTGTTAAATGTGCAAGTGAACTGACATGACTAAAATGCACTATGCTTAGTCAATACTCCAATTATTTTATTTATTTTCTCTGTAGTTTAAATGGATTGGATGTTTAGCAAATATAAAATCTCATTTAGAAAGTGACAATGACCTTGTTTATTTTATTTGGATTGCCATAATAGTGAAAAGTAAATAAATAAATAAACTTATAGAGATGCATTGAGAGAACAAGGGAGGGGATTTGGAACAAAATTCAAAGAGGTTCCAAACTCCAGGTCCTTCATTTTTAACAAGTTAAGAAGGTAATTAAAAGTGAAAGATCTAAAAATAAACTTATGGACTACAAGATATCTCAGTTTCACTGCAGCATGGTTCCTCAGTTAGTTAATAAGGCTCATAATGTAGTTAGAATGGTGTTATCTCCAAATATGACCTAAAACTCCCTAGAGATCATTAGCATCATCTTGAAATAAGCATTTTTCCAGAAAATCACTTTCAAATGTATACAAGAGTGTATGGCTTGATTAAAGACATGTCTCTTAAGGCTGGAAAGATGGCTCAGTGGTCAGAAGTGAGTATTCTCTTGCAGAAGACCAGGTTCAGTTCCCAGCAGCCACATTTGGTAATTCACAACATCCTATAACTCCAGCTTCAGGGACTCCAACCCCTCTGGGCTCCTTGGGCATCTGCACTCACATGTGCATGTGTGTACATGCACACACACACACACTGAAAAAAAAATCACGAAAATAAAATGGAAAAATATATAATCTACATCTTCTTCTTTAAGTTCTCCCCACCCCTTCTCTCATTTTGTTTTGGAACTGGATTTTACATAGCCCAGGCTGGCCTCAAACTCACTATGGAGCCAAGACTGATCCTTCTGCCTCCGCTTTCCAAGTGCCAGGACTACAGCCATGAGCCACCATGCCTGACATAGAGGAGTCCCTTCTTTCATAAGATGTTGAACTTTGAAAAGAAAGAGAAACTAACATTCAGAGTAGGAAAAAAGCAAGCTTGAGAAGACAGACGAGGACAAAGGTGAGCTCTGGAATCAAGAGAAGAGAAAGAATGCCGAAAATGAAGAAATAAAGACAGTATGGAGCTGGATATAGCGGTTCACATCTATAGTGAGAACGGTAAGTTCAAGGCTGGTTTGGGCTCCACAGTAAAATGCCTGGTTTAAGAGGTGCTGAGTGAGGCAGGCAAGCATGGGAAGTCCTTTAGCCCGGGACCCTATTTCACTTGGGTCATGACTTACTTGCCCCCTCTTATAATATACTTGGTAGCCTAGTCCCTTCACCTGTAGGAACCATGCATACACACCTCTCTCCTAGCAGCCTCACCCCCTGAGGCCACTACCTACATTGGGCTACACAATACTTCCATCTCTAAGAAACAATACAGATTTCCCTGTCTTTGGTAACAATCACAACTGACAGTTTCTATTCAACTGTATTCCCGACATATCTGGTAAGAAGAATAGAAACGTCCAACCAGCCTAAAATGGTTTTAGATGCATGTGCAGTTAGACAAACTGTCAAGTGAACTTTTAAGGAAAAATCTTATGTCTATGTATTAATTTAAATTGAATTAAATCAGGTGGATTATGGGCAGGGACATGTACATTAGGGAAAATAAGTATCAGACCTTACGTAACCTAGCAATCATAATAGACAACCACTCAAACTATATCTTTAGAAGCCAGCATCTCCTTCTTTTGAACCCCAAACAATAATTTGGACACTTAGGTACTCTCACTCATGTGGCCTGCAGTAAATCTGAACTTCTGCTGTGTTTCTTACAAAGTTATCCTGCCACATTTGCAAATTGGTGAGTCCATATTTTCAATCATTTGGATAAGAGGCCAAGAACTTGGGAAGAACTGATCCTGACTTTCACCATGCTGACAACCCCCAGTAACACGGAGGCTGAAACGTGGGGCTTTATTTATGTTGGGCAAGTACCAACTGAGCTATGTATCCAGTCTAAAATGCAAAGAAAGCAAAATGTGAATAATCTGGTTGGTGAAGAGTTAAATTTTGAAGTTTGGACGTTATAAGTTACTTTCACAGTACCAAAGGGAATGTGATTGTACTTATTCAAACTTCAGCCAGGTTCCCTCTCTTTCAAATGATAACTCAACGATCCATTTTGGATTATCTTCTTCAGATTTATGTTCCTTCCATATACAACCTTGAATTTACTATTAAATGGCATACTTAATTTAAATTAATGAGTAATTTGTTTTCATCAATATGTAGAGTAACAGACATATACATACCTGTCCTATCAAAAGACCAGAGACAAAAGATTTTCCCTCGAGATTGATGTTTGAAAGATACTGGCCAACAGTCTCTTCTACAATGTAGGTTCTTCCCATTATTGACAGTCAAATTCAATAGCCTAAATTATAAGAAATAAAATTTGCATTTTTGGAAAAAAATGTAATTTTTGATGTTTTAGAATGGACAGATGGGTAATAGAGAAAAAAAGTAAGTGTTACAATTCTGACAAATGTCCTATGTCTTATAGTGATTATTTACTACATAGGGCATTCTTTTTTTGTACAATTGAAACATAGCTTTGGAATTCTGAGTACAGTGCTGTAAGAAACAACTCCCTGGGGGCTGGAGAGATGGCTCAGCGGTTGAAAGAGTGCTTGCTGCTGCTTCTCCATAGGGCTTGAGAGCAGTTCCTAGCACCCAAGTCCAGTGGTGCACAAATGCCTGAAGCTCCAGCTCCAGGAAATCTGAGTCCCTCTTCTGGAGTCTGCATACATGTAGCATACCCACACAGATATGTACACCAAATTAAAATCACAAATATCTTTTTAAAAAAAGAAAGGAAGGAAAGATAGACTCCCAGCCAGATATGGTGCCGCATGCCTAGAATTCCAGCACTCCAGAGGCTGAGGCAGATTTGATACCAGGAGTTGGAGGCCAGCCAAGGCTGTACAGGGAGTTCCAGGCCAATCGGATCCAAACAGCAAAACCCTGCCTCAAAAACACAGAAAGAAAACAAAACAACAATAACAAAAATCACAATTACTAACTAACCATGAGAAATTAAAGCTATTTCTCATTCCTGGGATAAGGAAATAATGAAACCATTAGTCAACACATCTAATTGCTTATTTTAGATCTACTCCTTAGCTACATTCTCTTTGTTAATTTATTGGTGAACTTCCATGTTCTCATTTTTAAAATATAAAAGATGAATTTCTGATTCATTCATTAAGAGGTAGAGAGATTCAAATTGATTCAAGTGATTACTTTCTAGAAATTGTACTCGGTGGGAAGGTACAAAAGTGAATGATTGCTGACATGAGACAACTCACTTAACAGCCACATAAGTAAACAGTAATGATAACTATCTATATATATAGCTTCCATTCTGCACTGGGCATTATTCTAAGTACTTTACATGCATTGGCATTTAATACATACCCCCACGAGGCTAGTACTAGTATTGTCATCTCCGTTTTATACATAAAGAAATCAAAAGAAGGAAATAACTCCTCCAAATGACAAAACTGTTTCATGGGAAAGGAGGGATTTAAGCTCTGACAGTCTATTTTGTTCACACCAACAACGTATACTGTCCTTCAATTAAATCATTGCAATGGACAGCTCCTGTTCTCTCCTTCAGTTTGTGAATGGAAACTAGTATATCTGTACTAACTTAATCCCTCCCATTCACTGAAACAGGGTCTGACTACTAACCCAGGCTGTACTGGAATAATAACCCTCCTGCCTCTTACTCCCAGTTGCTGAGATCACAGGCATGTGCTAACCCTTATTTTCAATCAAGGGTCAACACATTCTTCCAGAAAAGTAAGCAGGCATGAAACAAAGTACATACTGAAAAACAGTGCTGAAACATGATCTGGAAACAAGCATAGTTCTGTTATTGTGGCAAGATGATAGTGTGACAATTGTTTTTAAAAAAAATTCATATAAAAACATCAACATCAGACATTTTTCTGCCGTGTCATCTTCATACATAAATTACATTTTAACTTTTCCTGATTTCTTTTTTGTCTAAAATACTAACTGGACTACTACATTAATTCGCTTTAAATCATTCAGTGCCTCCAACCCCCATGTTTGTACGAGGATGGACACGAGATAAACTCCTCAGAACTGGGTTTCAGTGTGCACCAGAGTGACTGTCCATATGTTCCCTAACTATAGCCTTTCCTTTTTCCCCTCGAAGAGGAAGTTGTTGGTGCCCGAGTGCACACACATTCGTGGGTCGACTCACTTGTTCTCAGAATGTGCACACGTGGCCAACAAATCCCTCGAACCGTCTGTCAGCAAGAGAACTCCGGTGAGACTACAAGTTAGCTGCCTTCAAGGGTCAGATGCCACTCAGGTCCCGCTTTGCCCGCCAATGAACTCATCAGAGAGCGACTGGAGACGCTCCACTTCCCTCTCCGAACTAGGGCACCGACGGGCGCAGCCTGATGACGCACGCCATCCCCGCACACATCTCCGCAGCTCTTCTACCAAAGCAAGCGTGGCCTGCACCCCGCCCCCTTCGGGGCACCATTGAGAGCGTGGTGGTAGCCCGGAGCCTGTCGATCCGCCCTGCTGTGACCCTCTCGTGGCTCGGTTTCTAGAAGCGGCCACAGAGGAGGACCCATGGCATCCCGGGGTTTTGACGGTAAGGTCTCCTTGCTCCCTGGGTGGGGGTGGGGGGGGGGGAGGACGATGGTTGCCGAGCACGTATGTGGCGCCACCGCGCGGACACTTGTCACAGCGGAACGAGGCGAGCCGGGGGCGGGGAGAAAGAAGGAAGAGGAACGGGCGGTGCGGGCGGGACGGAGCTCGCCGAAGCGAGTGAGAAATACTACATTTCCCAGGAGCCTTTGGGTCTGGAAGCAGGTGAGAGCGAAAGCTGGGTCAGAGGCCCGCTGGGAACTCGCATTCCCAGGGTGCATAGCTTCCGGCAGCTGCGTGCGCGTAGAGGGCGCGGCGGTGGCGCCCGGAGTGCTGCGTCTAACGCGGGACTCTATTTCCCAGGGTCCCGCCGCGGGAGTCTCCGGCGGGCAGGCGCGAGGGAGCCAGCGAGCGAGGCGGCAGACGGGGCGGCTCAGACTTCTGGGTTCCGCGCTTCGCCTTGCTCCTTCGTTTCTCCTTCGGCGGCGGCTGCTGCGGCTGCTGCCGCCGCCGCGACCCCGGCCGACATGGCGGCGGTGTTGCAGCAAGTGCTGGAGCGCCCGGAGCTGAACAAGCTCCCCAAGTCGACCCAGAACAAACTTGAGAAGTTCCTAGCTGATCAGCAGTCCGAGATCGATGGCCTGAAGGGGCGGCACGAGAAATTTAAGGTCGAGAGCGGTGAGTGAGTGAGCTCTCTCCGAGCTCTGGTTTCGGAGCTGTGGCTCGACCTTCCCCCTCTTACCCGCTTGCACTCTCTGCAAGGTGTGCGGGTAGCATCACGCAGGCTTCGTGTGCAGTGTAGGCCTTCTCTTCCCTCCTCGCTGAGTGATTAAAAAAAATAAAAAGAAAAAGAGCGATCCTTCCTCCTCCCAGATCTAAATCCACCCTCAACTTGTCTTGCGTAGGAACTCTTAGCTTGGGCCCACAGACAAATTGTGGAGAATTTTGGTCAATTTGCACCAGGTTTTTAGGACTATGCAACCCTAACCTGATTCTGTTTTGTTCTTTAAATGACAGCAATTCCTCCTATTTTCTACCCACCTGGATTTATAGGCCTTTGCCAATTTCACCTCTTCCATGCCTTGTCCGTCCCAAAACAAAGTAAATGGTCACAAAAATGAATTTGGAAGCAACAGATATCACTAAAAAAGCAATGAAATTGCACTAAGTGAGTTGGCTGTATTGTGTTTTCCTCGGAAAGCTGGAGATTAATAGAAAATATATGCAGATCTGCTTATATGGCCTTGTAGTTGCTTCCGTATAAGAAAGTTGTGGACTTAGTGGTTTGAACTGGTTTAAAGATAGTAGTAATTACCCATTAATAAAACAAGAATTTATATTATTGGCTTTTCGAGACAGGGTTTCTCTGCACAACAGCCCTACCTGTCCTGGAACTAGCTTAGTAGACCAGGCTGGCCTCGAACTCAGAGATCCGCCTGCCTCTGCCTCCCAAGTGCTGGGATTAAAGACGCCGCCGAGCCTCACCACCACCCAGCAGGATTTTTCTTGGTACATGTTTTGGTTTACTTTTTGGTTTTTCGAGACAGGGTTTCACAGTGTAGCCTTAGTGCCTGTCCTGGAACTCGCTCTGTAGACTAGGCTGGCCTCCAACTCACAGAGATCCTCCTGGCTTCGCCTCCCGAGTGCTGGGGTTAAAGGCGTGCGCCACCACCGCCTGGCCTTGGTTGATTATTAATTGAAGGAATTAGTGCTGTGTTTTGGTAGAGATTAGAAATTTCTACCTAAATTAATTTTCACTTCAATAAAGTATAGTTATCAAACAACGTAGATAACGTTAGCAACAATTATACAGTTAATTGGTGAATATAAATAACTTACATAATATACTATATTCTGTTTATTAATTTAGACAACAAATATGAGGTTTTTTAAAATATGTCCCAATACTGGGATGAAGTAAACAGTTTGTGCACAGTCCTTTTGTGGGAAGTCTGCATATTTAGTTTTACAGAAATTTAAGTAGGTGGCATTTTAATTGTTTTACATCAAACCTTTATAAACAACTCAGTTTTTAATTAAATAAAAATTTTAATTTAATAAATGCTTATTTTTAAATGTTTAGCAATCTCTTGAGGTCTGGAGAAAATACCAAGATACAAAATTGTTGCCTGCTTAGAAGAAATTAATTTATGAATCCCCTTTTAGGCATTATTATCTTTGTTATATTATGTCAGTTGAAAATGTTAGAAAAGTCCTTTACAGTGCTAAATCTATTTATTTATTGAGATTCGATTTTCCAATATTGGATCTTAAGTTTTTCATTCAGTATCCTAAGACATGAATAGTGGTCTTAAGACGGCTGATTTTGGGGGTGTGGGAGGTGTGCTTCCCTTTACTCTTAGTGTTTGGCCTTGTCTTTCGTAGAGCAACAGTACTTTGAGATAGAGAAGAGGTTGTCCCAGAGTCAGGAGAGGCTTGTGAATGAGACCCGTGAGTGTCAGAACTTGCGGCTGGAGCTTGAGAAGCTAAGTAAGTATTTAATTATATCTTTCTAACTGTTCTTGGGTGTTCAGTTACTCCTTTGTGTAGCATCACAGAGGCAGGGAGCCTGTCCCTCCTGGAAACAGGTTTTCCAGATAGGGGAGCCATGAACAAGGTAAAGACACACCCAGTTCCCCTGACTTCAGGCCCAGAGGCAGACTGACTGCTGTCACATCTGTAAGTCCTGTTTTCTCATTCTAAATGTCTTTGGGCCTTCCAAACACCTACCTCCACCCGAACCACAAAAACGGTGTTTAGTCGAATTTGATGGTGACAGCAGACCTTGGGCCCACATCTCTCTCTGACTACCTCACAAAGAATCTTTAAAAAACACACTGCTCTCTGAGAGGGCTGCAGCTTTGCTTCATACCCACTGAGGAGTGATAAAGACTTTCAGTTCTGTGCCTTTCTCAACCCCCTCCCTATTTCTCTCTCCCTACAACTAAAACATTGCTCTTTGAGGCAAGGTCTTGAGTAGCCCCAAACTCACCTTGTAGACTAGGCTGGCTTTGAACTTGTAGCTGTCCTTCTGCCTCTGCCTCCCAAGTGCTGGGATTATAAGTGTAACACTAGACCTGGCTTTAGATGCTTTCATAAAAGAAATTTTCAGGTGTGTATTTTTTCTATATAACTGAGTGTATACAGGAGGATAAATGCATCATGAATAAATCGGAGTGGAAACATAATTTTTTCTTTTATGGGAAAGGCACAGTTCTTAGTAATAAAAAAAGCATAGAATTGCACATGTTTATTATGATATGTAATGAATACATATATGTAGTTCAAATACATTGTGTGTATTGAGCCTGACCTGCTTGTTCTATTTTATATAAACTTAAATAGAAAGTGGCATTGAAAAACTGACATTGCTAATTTTACTACAAATTGGGAGTAAAATTATTACATTTGACTGTAGTATATTTAAACTTTTGGTCTGGAATACAATAAGACCAGAATATATTCACAAATTTGGAATATGGTTATAAATCAGTCTTTATGGTTCTTCATTTTAAAAGTGTGTAATGGTGGCAGTTGGGTAAAAATGCCCATTTTAAGTTAACACATTTGTGTGCATTACGTCCCTTTTCTCTAGATAACCAAGTAAAAGTGTTAACTGAGAAAAACAAAGAACTTGAAACTGCTCAAGATCGTAATCTAGGCATTCAGGTAAAACTCTGTCCAGTAAATAAAGCTGATTGCAGTTATGATACTTGAAGCTTTTCTATTCTGCTTTTATGTCTTAGATATTAGTAGCCCAACATTCACTGTGGTTTGGTACAGTTAGGGAACTGGGTCACTGTTTCTTTAGAGCAATGATAAGAATAACAGATTAAATGTGGTAATAATGATTGTTACTATGTTATAGTCATATCCAGTCTTTCTTTAACCATATGGAACTACATTTTTAAAATTACATTTGATTTGAGACTCAGATTTTTTTTTCAAAACTCAGCAAGAAAAAAATTATACTTTCAGGTTCTGAATAGGAGTGTAAAATACCTAAAATACGTGGATAAATTAATTTGTAAGAAATGTAATATGCTTTAAGCACTTTAAAAATTTTAATGTAGGTTTTGTTTGTGTTTTTTGCCTTGGTATTAAAAAAACTTAGTTTTCTGAAAACTTAAAAATCATATTTGTATGTTGGAGAAAAACAGCATGTTCCTGGGTAAGATGGTTTTCCAAATTAATACAGGCTTTAATGCAAGATCCTGATAGGCATTCTAAGTTTGATAAAACAGCAACAACAGTGAAGTCTGTAACCCAAAAGAATAATGGGCACAAGCATAGATACAATTTAATCAAACTGATAGAGCTAGAAAATAATGTGTTTAACTGCCGTGTAAGCCAGCTTCCTGTTAGTCACTGTAATAAAATGCCATATAGATCATACAGTAAGAGGTTTATTTTCATTGACAGTTGTAGCAAACTTTCTTGTTGGATTCTTGTGAGCCCACCAGCTAGCTAATAACGACTTGGCCTTAGCTTAGGCTTGCTCCTAACTAGTTCTTACAACTTAAATTAACCCATATTTTTTAATCTACATTCTTCCACGAGACTTTTTAGCCTCATTTTTGTATTACCATCCTGATTCCCCTGTGTCTGGCTGGCGACCCTGCCTTTCTTCTTCCTAGGGTCCTCTCTGTCCTCAGAAGTCCCACCTAACCTTTTCCTGCCTAGATATTGGCCATTCAGCTCTTTATTAAACCAATCAA